ACCGTTCCTTTCGTTCCCATCCTTAACTTTACCCATCCTTACATTCCCGTTCTCTGGCTGAAGAAGGTCAGGAAACCCTGACCAACCCGCCTTCGGTATCCCTCGGGGTGTCGGAGGAGTGAAACGCGTTGACCTTTACCCTTAAGTGAGCAAGGAACTCACTCAGGTTTCGTCTCCAAGCTTCACCTTTGCTCCATACGAGTATGGACGTTGGTGCAAGTGAGGGAGGTAGCCAACCACAATTACCTAGCTACTCGAGATACGCTACGGACGTAGTGGCGAGTTCATTGTTTTACCGGTGCAGGTCATTTTTGTGTATATGTGAGCAGTACTCACCATAACTGAAGTTAAAGACTCTTGTTCTTGTTATGTTAGTTGGTAGTGATGTAAATATTAGTCTATAGTTTCATTGTACATTTCGCTCGAATAAAGTCGCCGAATGGAAATAGTTTACCCTTAAACAGTGCATTATTTATTAAGCATCTCTCAACCCCGCTACCAACAGATAATCCATTCTAACGACGCCTCCCCAAGCAGAATGTTCCTGCAACAGCGTCCTGAAACTTTCTGCAAGTACCATGAGATGTGTGCCATACGGGAACGTCAGAATGATGCCCCACAAAATGAGTTTAGAGATTTTTTAGAATTACTTTCCTGGAACAAAGTGAACTTAACACGCTCTCTGGCCGGCCGGGAGCATATTTGTAAACGGCAGACGCGTGAACCCAGTTTAATCACGATTGAATGTGTGCCATAATGGTCTAGTAGCAAGGATTGCCGGCTTGCAACCGGGCGGCTCGGGTTCAATTCTTTGCATGAATAGTTTTTTCATAAAACTGCGACTTGCGTATCCTAATTTAGCGGAATTGGAGGTTTAAGATAGTCTTTTCAAATTTTGTTGAAAATCAAAGTTGTACAAAAATGTTGCGCAGTGGTCCGAAGAGATAACGGCCCTGCTATTTACGAATGGGCGTCGAGGTGTGACCTTGGAGCGTAATTTTTCACAAACAATAGCTGAACTGCAGCAATCATTTGTCGCACTGTCGCCAGCTGTTCTGCTTTGGTGCGACGACCAAATTAAAACGACGAAATTAGGGGTTGGAGAAGATAGTTTTGCGATCGTTTTAGGGGGTTAATGAAGAGATGGGATTTAGTTTCTGTCTCAGTATTGTTAACGAATGTTAACGTATCATTTTTGTTTTTGTGGTTTATAAAAAAAGAATGCTTTTGGTCCCAACTGACCCCCCCCCCTCCGCCCCTGACAACAGTCTAAGTGAGTGAGTTTAAGTTATACGATGAAAAATTGGGAGATAAAATTTATTCAGCCATTGCGCATTGCCAAATTTCTCTATTCGTCCGTTAGAGGTCGTTGCTACCCTTTGTGAATTTTCTGCAGTTTCGATGACCATGTGCATTTTACGAAGAAATTTAAAAAAATTGCTTAGGAAAATATGCATTAGTGGGCCACACTTGGTTTTTTTTTTTTAATTGAAGGTAGTAGCGTGTAGATTACTAATGCAGTCTCGAGTGGAACCTTATGTTAGATCTGTAGAGCTGACCATTACTTTTAACCATATTTCTACTGGGAAACGTATATTTCAAGCTAATGTTGGTGGTTTAAGGAAGATGCATGTTTTTACTTTGTATTTGATTATCCGGCTTGAAGGACCACAAACATTTAAATGATCGGTTATACCGCTGGACTGAGAAGCAGTCCCATTAACATCCAGTGACATTGATTACAACACCCCTTGCCCATCAAATCTGCTACACATATGCAAAACTTCCATGACTCTTTAAATCGCAATACAGAATTTATTGCACTACACCAGGTAGGCAATAACGGCAAAGCATACCTTCTAAATCACAATCATACTACACAGACAAATGAGAGATTAAAATAAAGGAGTGCTGAACGTCGAAGACCACATTTTTAAAAACCTCGAAAGACCAGATGTTAAAATAAATAACGAAAATGAACAACACAATTGAAACAGATTTTACAGCAAAGTTTCTAGTTTTTAATTACTGCAAACTTCCCACTTAAAATGCCACACACCTTTTGTGCTTTTGGTAAAGGTGCAGCGCACATTCTAAATTGTATTGCAGAAAAGTTGAAACTAAATATGTATTTGATACAATTAGCTCTCTCAGTCGGTTCTCACCAACATGTGAACTTATGGGAAAGTTTCCCTAATTATAATTTTACGTACAATACTCCTTTTTGCATTTGTTCCACTCATTGAAACCAAAGTAGGTACCAAAGATTTATGCTCTGTCAGATTGCCAATTTATTAGAATCATTAAAATCCTTTCAGACACATCTGGTAATGCATCTCCAATAGCAGATAACACTCGAAAGAAAACAAGACTTATCTGAATACAGTTCAAAGTATCCACATTTATAAAAACCATTAAAACAAGAGGAATTTTAGTTATCACACAAATCAATAGTTTAAATAAACGACAGGAAAAAGACTCACCCTTTTGCAGAGCAGATTCCGACCAGTTATTTAACGATACATGCATTAACCATATTAAGACTTTTAATATCAACTAATGTGACTACGCACTCAGTAACCACTAACATCCAGGATATTAAGTGGCTTTTGTTAACTCTACAAATATAAAGCCCTTACTTGTATTAGTTCAATTAGATTAATGTTTAAAGTTTACACAACATTCAAGGCTTTTAAGAATATAAATACAATTCCTTGCAATAAACCAACTACGAACCCAATGTAATCAAGAAAATTAACATCTAAAACGATACCGTAATTTAGAACAAGATCAAATATTAATCTAATTTATAATGTTTTAAATAAATTAAAGTCTAATCTTGTAGGTAAACAAGAACCATGGGATTTGTAAGAACAACCAACAAGTATTATATTAGAAAAATATTTGCTCTCCGATCGAATTCGTCTTACTTTAGCAATAATTCTTGGAAAAAGCCGTACCTGCTTGAAATTGTAGAAATAAGTTCTGTAAAAGCACTTTCAAGATGTAAAAGTGGGCCGTGTGTTATTTATGATAGATAATAAGCGTGTTGAGCAGACGATATGGAAACTTGGTGACTGACAACTGAATGTGGGGGAATTTCGTTTTACGCAATTTCTACAGTTTTACCAATCTAGGCAGAGACGTACGCAGGTCGCTCAAATTTCGGAGGGCCACATGTCACTTAACCGGAGGTGCATTATTATTCTCAGAAGGTTTCAAGGTTCGCGCCTTGTATTCTCTTAGTTTTGAAGAAATGTAGAATCCTCTTAGGAGCAGCATCCATCGCATTCGGGGTGCATCTCCAAGTAACCTGTGCATTGACCTGCTTTAGAAGTGACAGAGGAGTTTTTTCTCCGGGCACCCTCTGCTAAGCGAGGTCCATAGAGGTGTCTTTTCATTCCAAGTGATCCGTCAAAAGTTGTCATTCATAGTAAACTTTAACAGGTCTTTATCATTTTATAGTCATTCTGTTACATGTGCAATTATCCTATTAAAAAGCATCTGTCGACCTTCTACGCCTATAGTCATTATCCGTAACGCTGGCTCAGTTTTCGAATGTACCTCAATACTAAACCAGTTTATTTCTTGCCTAGAACTTTTAACGCCGCCTGGCTATCTGTTACTACGGTACAGTAGTTTCAACCATTTTGACGTTCCTTCAAAGGCGCTTGACTTTGTTCTCCATAGAGATAGACGTTCCGCAAACAAAAACACACCGTTACTCCCATGGAATTCCAACCACGCTAGAGCTGTATATGGGAAAAAGCAAGTTTGAGTTGTCCCTATGTCTATTGGATCCCGTGTGACTCCCATCACTTTTCCAAGGGTTTCCTATGAAAGGGCCCTTTGAAGTCTTGCTGCTTCGCGTGCCATTTCAATGCCATCTTTGCGCCCCTCGTGGTTTTATTGTAAACTACAATATATGTCCCACCCATTGTTATTTTTGCCATCCTTCTATAGTCTCCACCCGTATTCGAACGAGTCGCTTATGTCACTATGGCGGCTTCGAAAGACTCTACTCGTTCATTTCCGAACTTTCAATCTCCTCGGGAGGTAGACAATCCCCAAGTTTTTCTTACAGGAGGGTCCAGTCGGTTTTCCTGGGGATTTCTGTACTCTTTTCAGCTAGTTATTTCTGATTTAATATCGAATCTAATGGACCTGTGAATAAAATTTCACTTCTGACACACCCCATGTCGCTATGGTGCCTACTGTTCTGCCAGTGGAGCCTGGATCTTTACATTTATTGGTTATGTGTAGAACGTACTAATGGCGACTGTGGCGACGCGTCGCTTGCACATCTGGCAGCAAATTAGAACGTGCTGCACCCTCATTGGTTAAAACTGCCAACCGATGAGAGCGTAGCGTCCCTGGTCGCAAACGTTTAAAAGCAGAGTCCCGAACCCTGAAAAACAATTTCTGCTTCGACGCCGCTTCAAGAAACAACCAACTCGGCCGCTCGACCTTGCGCCACGTTCCACCACCCATCAGAAGAACCGCATCCGCGCTCACTCCAACGACAGCGCTCGCCACGTGCAGTTCAGCTACCATTTTGTATATATTGTAAATATATTCCATAATACGCAACAGCACCCTATAATCTCTTTTTTTGGAATCAGTGCTGGTTCCATAGTAGTGAGCATCGCATTTGACCATACAATGGTCCACTAATTGGCTCTTGGTAAGGGCATTGGTCAGCATGCACTGTGTCATGATGAGGAATATAACAAGTCACGGCACCGGTTCCATAGAGATGCATCCGGTAATGTGATGAGGGAGTGGACCTAAAATTAAAGGAGAGTAGTCTTCCAACATTTTCCTTATGGATTATCTGTCCCTGGCTGACAGTCCACCCGTTTTTGGACATAGATGATCAGACAATTTGGAGACACTGGATATTGACCGACCTTTGAAACGAGATAAATTTATGCCCTACACTTGGTCCGCCACTGAGCAATTAATCTAATTTTAATCAGCGTGGCTGGAGCCTGCGCATTAGAAACGTCATCGTTGCGTGGCGTTTCCACTGTCACTTTTGCTTCGGAGGGTGATTTCTTGTGATATTTTATTGTGGAATTAGTGTTTCAAGTATTTTATTAAAGAATTAACTTTCAATATGTCAACTTCTGGTGATTTTGGTAATCCCCTTCGAAAGTTTAAGTTAGTTTTTTTAGGAGAACAAAGTGGTGAGTTGTTGTTTAATACCAGGCGTAGTCCAAATCAATAAAATGACACGTATTATTGCTTATTTTTCTTTTTTCATTTTTCAATTAATTTGAAAAGACGAGGGGCGGCTTGCCTAATTAATAACTCTTCATACTGTTGTTAATTGCTAAGGCAATTTCGTACATTTTATGATTTATTAGGTTAGGTTTTAACCCTTAATACAAAGGGTTGTTGCATAACTTATTTACCAGTGCCTTTGTTACAGTGGGTAAAACATCTCTAATAACAAGATTTATGTATGACAGTTTTGATAATACGTATCAGGTATCGAAATACATCCCCCTTATCTGTTATTGACTGACATTTTTGCTCTTTCAGGCTACTATAGGAATTGATTTTTTATCGAAAACAATGTATTTAGAGGATAGAACGGTACGTCTTCAACTATGGGATACGGCCGGTCAGGAAAGGTTTCGATCTTTAATACCGTCGTATATTCGTGACTCAACGGTTGCGGTAGTCGTCTACGATATTACTAGTAAGTTTATTTCGATTTCTTATATGCCGTTAATTGCGCATGTTAGATGCGAACTCCTTTCACCAAACATCGAAGTGGATAGACGACGTTCGAACCGAAAGAGGTAGCGATGTTATAATTATGCTCGTCGGTAATAAAACAGATTTATCGGAGAAGCGACAAGTTAGTACGGAGGAAGGTGAAAGGAAGGCCAAAGAACTTAATGTGATGTTTATTGAAACTAGTGCGAAAGCTGGATATAACGTAAAACAGGTAATTATCACGACTTAAATTTCTTATCTCGTTATTACACATGCTTAAGTAAATAATGCCACGACTATTTCTGTTATCTATGGTGAAATTTTAGCAGGTTCTTAATTATCGAGCATTTTTCTAAATTATATCCGAGGCTTAAAATAAAACAACAATTTCTACACCATATAGATAATTAATGGGTAATAATTGAAAATTGCGTTTTCTCCCAAAGGGAAAGTTAAAGGTCTGGACAAGGGATCCATTAGTGACGTCAAATCCCGAGAATGTAGTGTTAACATAGTGTATACTCAAAAGGAAAATGGATGGTCTGGACGAGATGTAGACTATGCCCAAAAACGGTTTCTGGGAAATAAATTTCTAAGCTTTCTGAGACCCTAGGAATGTTTTGAGATTCTTAAAATCTTTTTCGATGTTTGTAAGCATGTACACAGTTTTCAAAAAGATTTGTAATGCTGCAAGGTATATAGACAAATTGGGAGTTTGCTCTGTACCATAAAACTTCTACAAATATTCCTGTTTCCTATAATAGAAAATTGATAACACTTGTACTTTAGAAATAGTGTGCGAGCAAGAGGATCAAATTTCAGTTTTGAAACGTCTCTAATTGCACCTTGTTTTTCAGCTGTTTAGACGTGTCGCTGCTGCCTTGCCCGGTATGGACTCTACGGAAAATAAACCACCAGAAGACAGTATCCTTTTTCTTTATTTCTTCTAAAATTGCATGTGCATGACAATTGCAAATTGACGTTCGTAAATAGTTGACCCTGTTTGATTTCTTTTGATAAATCCGCACTCAATATTCATTACCATTTGAAATATCAAAATCGAATGAGTATTGATTGTATCAGATATAAGCGACAAGTTTGAACGGTGCACGCTTATATCTGCTATAGGTTTTGACAGCTTTGTTTTGTTATTTTCCTTAATATTTGTGTTTAGTGCAAGAAGTTGTCTTAAAAGATACACCAAATGAAGTTAAAGATCCAGATGGAGGCTGTGCATGCTAACTCACAAATAGTGAAAGTTGGATGATTTAGCTGCAGTTTTGTATAAGAAAGCTTTTTTATTTTTATAACATTTCTTTCTATTGTAAATATAAATAATGATTTAATTTTTTATACCATCCCTTTGAATGTATTGAATTAATATATAATAATTTAAATCATAGTGCTAGCTAATTTCGATGATTACTGTTGATTTGCTTCAATTTTTATACTTGCTTGTGTAGAATTTCTTCAATCTGTGAATGGCAGCGCTAATCGCATTTCATTGTAATGATACTCATCACCGTGTTTGGGAGAAATCTTACACTTAATTTACGTATGTGTAACATATCAGAAACGCCATATAAGTCAATTGTTTTCTGTATGCTCATTGAATGTATATGTCGATTTGTTGCATGTTAAAACTCACAATAGCTTTATTAGTCTATGATAGGGAAATTTTGCTTCCATTTTCAACGACTGAATGTGTGATTAAGTTCTTGCAAATAGTCGTTCAAATATTCTTTCTCCCTCGGTTCGGTTGATTATACTGTTTAGTATCAGCAGCACGAAGGATTGTTGATTTAATTGCACTTGATACCACAATGGAGCAATAGTCGAGAATTATTGTGATAGAAATGGTTTTGCTAGTTAGTTGTGATTATCGATATATAGGTTGTCTAAGATTTAATTCTTGGTTGAACCGGTAACGAGATGGTACTGTTAATTGTATATAGTAGATCTTATTGAAATCAAATCAACATCTTACTTTTACGTTAAGTATTAATTTAAAATACGACCATACTAATTTCGATTTAGTTCAGTATGGGTGAAGGGAAAAATTTCTGGTTTACGCTGAAGTCAGACGTGCAATATTTTGTGACTTTTTCGACGTTAATTTTATTTATTTCTAGCATTCGGAATAATTAGCTTTAAAAAGTATGGGAACAACTTTGTTAATATTAATTAATATTTTAATACGATACTGCAGTGTATTGTACATAATAATGAATATTGTATAATTGAACTAATTATAATATTTATAATTTCTATTTATTAATTTTTTGTACGATTTAAATTGTGTGTACGTGTGTGAACGTGAGGAGGGTTGTAATTTATTATTGAGGCTCAACGACGTGTTGGCAATGTTAAATTTTACTCATGCAATAAATTTGCCTTAATTTTTTTAACACTGGAGCAAAAGGAATTTGCGGTATCTATTTTTGAGATTAAACTTTTGGTGTAAATGAATTTTCAATTTATACATAACTCGTATATTTTCTTGACTGTAATTTAGCTGTTGACTTACAAACGCAACCGCAGCTTCAGAACCATCAGCAAGATTCAGAAGGTGGCTGTATGTGCTGAACTAACAAATACTAGTTGTTTTAATCTTCAGTTAAATTGTCTGATGTAGCCTCTGCCTGTGTTGATGTTTAAAAGCTCTTGAGTGTCTTAAGTTGCATTCGCAGTTTACATGTGGTTTAATTGCATTTTTAGATAATATTTGAGTCTCTAAACCAAAAGCCTATACACTTTATGTTAAACGTTACTTTGTTTTATAAAATTGTAAGCTATAAAGCAATGATGCATGCTCAGTGTCCTTATACTTACTAATTTGTAATATAATGAAAAAAACTGTAGCACGAAAATAAAATTTATCACCTTGAGTGTAATAGTTATTGTCATTCACCAAACATGCATATTATATTTGACGATGAACCTGTTCCTTTGATAAGATTTGAATGTGAAAAGGAGTAGCATTTCCCAGCAGGTATAGTGACTCGTTTAATTATATTGTTTATAACTGCACTCCATCTGTTAGCTACCGGTGCTCGGTCTCCTTTTGGGCCGCTCTGGATTGACTTTCTTTTTGTTTTTTAAATAATTGAAACAATAAAAATTAAATTGTTTAAAAAAAAGTTGGGGCAAACTTGACATTGAATTAATCTTCTATGGTTTAATGTCTATACAGGGTGGTGCCTAGCGCAACACAGCATAGGGATTTCAATGGCAATTTCTTTATAGTCAATTACTAGCTCCCCAAATTATTTTAGAGGAAAAGTCTAAATACGTTTTTTTTTTAGAGAAAAAAATACTGCATCTGTTCATACGATTACTTATAATTTTCCGTTTTTCAAAACCGTAGAAATCGACAAAATAAAAAATTACATTTTTGTAAATCATTTGGAATCTTTCAACAAACTAGAAGCGCAACATCTGTTATCGTTGTTTGACGTCGAACGATTTTCATATTTAATTCTGTTTCATATAACCGACGCAAGAAAAAGCATCTATGCCGGGGTAATGTTTTTTTAGAGAATGTAATGCTGCATCAGATACTATTTGTTTATCATTTTCCGGAACCAGAGTACCTATACATAATCGAAGAAAAAAAACTGATTTCAAGAAGAATTGTTCTTAAACTTATATTCGGATTTTCCGCTACTGCAGCCAAAACGTTGAATGTATTGTCCTTTTCCTGATGGGTTTGACGGACATTTTGAACGTTATTGCACTTGCCGTTCTTTAACTAATTTATAAACAAGTATAAATTTAATATACGTCAAAGGCAAATAATGAAACGTGATCGCTGTTTTTTTAGGTAATTCCAAGGCATATTTGATTTATTGTAAAATGAACCTTTTTATTTTGTCGATTTCTACGGTTTTGAAAAACGGAAAATTATGAGTAATAGTATGAACAGATGCAGTATTTTTTTCTCTGAAAAAAACGTATTTAGACTTTTGCTCTAAAATAATTAGGGGAGCTAGTAATTGACTATAAAGAAATTAACATTGAATGCCTATGCTGCAGTTGTAGTTGGCTATAGACGTCGATACGGGGGTGTCGGTCGCGCCTGGACACCACCGGTATAACATATTTTTAGCCGGCATTTTTGCAAATTTAATTTGTAAATAGTAGCTTTTAATCTCACTGGCTGGCTGGTCTGAAACCAAAGGCAACGGGGGTAATCGTGTATCTACAAGGCCGTGTAATTTGTAAACCTTGGAGACAAGGACTACATGATGTGGGGTTGGCGTCATCTGGGCGTCATCCTCGAGCGTAGTATACTAACGTGAAGGTTTTTCAAGTCTTTTCCTATCTTCTACTACAGTTTTGGTCCGATTCTTTTCAAATTGGGTGTCGGAAAGATGTTGTAAACGCGCACAACACCTGCGTGGCGGAATTTTGTTTTTTGGCCTAGGGGCGAAATTAACGACCTTTTGCAAGGCGCGCGCGCGCGCGCGTCTTCGACAGATAGTCAATTTCGGCACCTTTTACCTTCCGTTGCGAATTCTGTCACGCGTTTTAACGTTTCGTAAATCTCGAATGGCTGTCTCTCTTTCTCGTGTCGCCAATAGAAGCTCGAGCAATGAGAAGTGCCCCCCAAAAATTAAGTACTATCTTGTGGAAGGTTTTTAGCGAGATCCACCAAAATGTGGGTGTATGCACCGAAAAAGGAAATGTGGTAGCTTCCGACAAGATCTAACTGATGGTGGAGAAAAATCTTCAAACGCGAATTGCGGGTGAACGGGACGTCGGAAGTGGGTACCGTCAAAGAGAATGTGGTATCCTTCGACAAGATCTTTTATTCATGGTTGAGTAAAAAGTGGCTAATAGAATACTGATCTGCCACACAAAAATGCGCTGAAGTCCCTTCGATCTCACACGAGGACTTTGATAATTTTTAACTACAATCCCAGTTACAAAAAAATTATCAAAGTCCTCCTGTGAGATGGAAGAGACTTCAGTGCATTTTTATGTGGTAGATCAGTGTTCTGAATTAAAACATGGGCGCCTCTTAGAAAATATGCAAAAAATCTCCGAATCATAGGATGTTCCAAAAAGTGCCAAACCTCTGGGTAAGATAGTGAGCTAAAGTTAATTATTATTTATATCCTTATTTGTGTTTTTGTCAATAATGTAATCTAGTAAGCCTAGATTCCCTCTGTCACACCCATTCTGGACTCCACCATTAGTCAGATCTTGTCGGGGGCTACCCCATTCCTTTTGTGGGCCATTTCCGACGGCCCCTGCACCCGCAATTCGCGTTTGTTTTGACTACCAGTAATAAAACATTCCCTTTGTCGGTACGGGTACCCACTGCCGACTAATAGTACCTACTTAATTTTTGGGGCAGTTCTCATATCTCGAGCTTCTGTCTGCGACACGAAAGAGATACCGCGATTCAATTTAAGCTGCGGGAAAAAATTCGCAGTCGGAAGTCGACTATCGTTCGAAGAGGCGCGCCTTGCAAAAGGTAGTTAATTCCGCCCTTAGGAAAAAAAACAAAATTCCGTCACGCAGGAGTTGTGCGCGTTTACAAGATCTTTCCGGCGACACCAGTTTGAAAACAGTCGGACCACAACTGTAGAATGTGAAGAAAAAGCTGAAAAATCACCATGTTAGTCAACCACGCTCGAAGATGGCGCCCAGATGTCCCCCATGTAAATGTAACCCCGTCCCTCGTATACTACTCGTCTTTCTACAAGCGATCTTCTACGGGCCCTCATTTGCTGCCAGCCAGCCGGCCAAAGTGAGATGAAAAGCTACCTTTTTTTTGCAAAAATGCGCTAATAAGGTTGACACATTTTTGTGCCTGCTTCTATTTCGAAATCGAGGAATTCCGGGCTTCTGAATTAGAATTGGGATACAATTGGAAATTCTGAGCACTTCTATGCTCCGGAAATTCAATTCTTGTGTGTGTGTGTGTGTGTGTGACAAATGCGCTACACAGCTGCCTAATAGATTGCATATACGTTTACGAAAAACGTTTATGACGAACTTCTTATTTTAATAAAGCGAATGACAACAGTGTGACTGGGAAAGCTGAAAAAAAAGCGTTTTCGAATGTACCTATCTATTTCACATTTATTATTATTGTCACAGTCTAAATACAAAGACTGGTATTACATAACTTTCAAAACACCTATTGCTCAATTTTTTCTATTTTCACTCACAAAATGGAAAAAGGTGTGCCTAATAATTACAACATAATTTATCGATATAGTAAATTTGATTCGGAGACGATTTCATGCGGTTGTGAATTAGGGAGCCCACGCAATTCTTTCCCAAAAATATTCCCCTTTTTTGAGAAAATTAAGGGTGACGCGTAGCCGTATCAGAAGAATTTTGTGCGACTTCACGAGCAAAATTTGACTTATGCCTCTTGAGCCTCCTCTCTCCCCCACTGGAAGCGTCATTGTACTTGTATACGACACTTCGATGAGTCCCGTTCCCGAGTTACGCCCGGACTTATCATAACGTGGCGGGAGCAGATGGGGGATGCGCCACGAAATGCCCTCTCTCGTATTTTCCCAAACGGTAAACAGTTTTACTTCCAACAAGAGCACCTTTTAGTTTTGGTTTTAGATTTTCGCGTTCTTTACACCTCTTATGACACCATCCCGACATGGGTGCGGCCCCTTCCTGCAATAGAGCGAGGAGATGGTTGGAACTTTTTAATCGCTCAGTTAATTTTTATCTATTTCCAATCCTCCCTGCTTACTTTTCAATCGCTTTCCCAGTTTCCATTTAGCTTTCATTACATTTTCCTTCGTGTTCCTTTGGAGTCTTAGACTTAGAATTCAGACATCTCGCAGTAATCTTGCCAGGATTTTCTCTTTATTCGCCTTTTGGATTTGTTATACTTTTGAAAAAGGTACGATATGTTCCCCAGACCCCAGTCACCTGTTCTTTTGGCTACTCCCAGTCCCTACTCACATTCGAATAATTATTCTCTCGCACCAACTTCTACAGAACTTCTGGCTTTTAAGTAACGATAAATCCCCGAGTTTTTACTTTACGAGTTCCAGAACCCAATCTGTCTTCCTGCACTTTCTGTGCCCTTCTAAACCACCTATTTCCGATTTTATATCTCTTTTGGCACAATCCCATTTATAAACAAATCATGTCGCATGTCGACATACGCTATTCCTATTGCATCTATATACTGTGGTACCTAGCAACTATCATCAATCATTATCATATGATCTCGAATAAGTACATCCTATAATCAGCAATAAAAATACTACTCATAGGTACTCCATCGCCATGATTTTCCTTGAAATTGCTAAATGATTACACCGAACCTTGCCTAAAAAACATTTCTTAAAATAGTTCTGGGAGCAATATTTTTACGATCTGTTTCAAGGTTGTTTATTGTAAACATCAAACTCTGTTTATAAACATATGTCATTATCTCCAATAGTAACATTTGTTTAAACAATGGTAGTAAACAGTATCCAGTAGCAAACGTGGTTCGATATTGATCTCCGCCCTTAGCAACGAACCAATGACATTGTTATTAAATTGTTTTATTTTTACTCTAACACATTTGGCCCAGTGCGAGACAATTGTTCGGCCGAGTCGAGTGGTTCCCCTATTTTGCATTATTACAAAATCTGTATTTGCTTAAGTTTTACGAAATTATCAGATTTTTTATTGCGTTCGTCATCATTGCCATTGGGTACTTTATACTTGTGAAGAAGCCTTAGAAGGAAGGAGAAATACTTGGGAGAGAATGAAGAACCAGAAATACACAATAGGCTTTTGATAATTTCAAAATATATCGAAAAAAGCAGCCGAAGTAGTTAGAAAACAAAAAAGACTATGAATAGGAACAACTGGCCCAAATAAAAATTAATTTTCAAAGGAACAACACAAGAGATTTCTATCAAACTTTCAAAGGTAAAATTAAAGGCTACCAATCTTGCAGTGTATGTTTTAAAAACGAAAAAGGAAAATTAAATAGCAAAGAACATTTTAAAATTTTGGAAAAATGTTAAATGCATCCCTTAGGTAAAACAGACCCTAACAATTACCGTACCGTACAACATTTTAAGTAAAGTGTTAAAAAACAGGATAACAGACGAAGCAGAAAATGTTCTAGCAGAATACCAAGGGGGTTTCGACCTAGACGATCATGTACATAACACATCCTGAGTCTAAAAAATAGAATAAATGCAATAAATAAAACAATAAAAATTACGTAGCTGATTTTGTTGAATTCGTTGCGGTATTTTATATTCAAAGGGTTAATTTCTTTATTAATTCAGTTGGGTGAAGGTTGTTAAGATTCTACACTAAAAATAAAAGATCCAATAAGGTCAGATCACGCACCCTCGAGTGGTCAAGTGATTACGTGATTTGGAATCTTAGTTACACTGTACAGGACTTACATCATTGGTCAATGGTCATATCAATGGTATTAAGAAACTACAGGGTGATGTTTTTTCAGGAGTCATGTTCCACTTTCTACCCCTGAACTATTTTTCGGTGCGCCCATGGTAGATTGTAAGTTACAAAATCAATGTTCTGGCTTGTTTAGAAACTTTTTGGTCTCTTGTAATTTTTTGCATCGGCGACCGTTATCGAGAAAAAAAATCAATTTTGCAGTTTTCCATATAAAGAAAAATCGTGAAATTATAACACTCTAACATTGATAACGAAGCGTTTGTTTAGGCACGTGCCTAGGAGGCGGCAGCTTTAGGGGGCGGCCTTTTTTGCACTATATTTATTTTAGTTAACATTTTAAATTTTAAAACACAAGTTATAAATGACAAAAATGTTTAATTAAAATTATGAAATAAATTGGAATTGGTGGATAGTTTTTTTTCATATTAGTTTTAAAAATTTCATGTTATAATTTGATTTTTATTTTAAAACTTATTGCAATTTAAAGATTATTTTGGGGCGCATATCTTTCGGTGTGCCTAGGGGCGCAAAAAATTTAAACCCGCCACTGCTTTTAAGCATAAAATGAGCCATATGTAATAGCGGAGAACACGCATGCAAGAAACAAGTCTTGTATTTACGATACCCAACTAGGCTGAAATGAATAAGGATCTTGAAGTCCCTTGTTTTCCGCTCTTGGAACAAAGGTATAATTATATAGTCGAAAGCGTAGCCCCTTACAATATGCCTTTGTCTCCGCCACTGGTTGCATTTTCCGATTCACAAAAATTATTTTTACACGGATCATTGCTCTAGGGCGTAATTAGGTAAATGACATTGAAATTAAAACTACTTTCCCCTATTGTAAATCGTTTAATGTGGAGGAACCCCATAACAGTTTACAAATTATTACAATCAATTCAATTTGTATTCAAGGCTAACACGGTAAAAGGTAAATGCATAAAATATGAAACAAGTTTATCTGCATAGCTTAAAAGCCAGTTGTAGACCTTTACTCGTGGAATTTTCTAATTTTAAACTTTCACTTGTAATAACAATCCCTTTTTTGAGTTGGCCATAGCGCTAGCGCTTCCGTTTTTCAAGTTGGTAGGATGCTAATGTTTTCCCTTCAGTAGAAAATGAATTATAACCTAGAAACTGTACGGGTTTTTATATCGTTTCATATCAGCAATTTTGATAGCGCGTTTTGTTATATTAGAAAGTGCTTGATTAGTTGCCGATTATTGTTGAAGAATGGAGGTTGTTTTCGTGGCGATAAAGTGGCGGCTTCCAGATGTTCATTTAGTCAGAATATTGATATTAAGTAACAAGGTTTAAATTAGTAACAAAGATACCGTTATGTAGATAACGAGAAAGGAAAGATTATATTCGTAGTGATCACACGGGGGAATGGATAGACGGATTGTGGTAGGCGCAACAAGCGAATGCGAAACGTGGCTATTGAAAGTTGGTGCTGCACACACATACAGTACGTTCGCGAAGCTGTCGTGTCGATATTTTGTTTACATTTGTTCGTAGTGTTTGCTAAAAATCATGAGCACTTACAATAAGTTCAAAACGCGACTGGATCACACGAATCAGATCCATTTACTTCAGTTCTGGGAGGAATTAACAAACGAACAGCGAAATGACTTCGCGATCCAACTGGAAACAATCGACTTTGAGGAAGTCAATCATCTGTTCCAAAACGCGATGGCCAGCCTAGAGGAAGATTCCGCCAAAATAGACAACCGCATGAAGCCCATACCACCGTCACAATTCGAATCGGAAGAAAACTCACATCCAGAAACATTGGAAAGGTACCGAAATATTGGATACGAGGAAATTTCCAAAGGGCACGTCGGAGTACTCCTATTGGCAGGCGGTCAAGGGACAAGGCTCGGCGTTACCTATCCCAAAGGAATGTACTCTGTTGGATTGCCGTCTGGAAAAACCCTCTTTCAAATCCAAGCCGAAAGGATTAGGCGAGTGGAAGATTTGGCGAGCGAATACACGGGGAAACACGGTAATATCACTTGGTACATTATGACCAGCGGTCCCACTGAAGAAGCCACTGAACACTTCCTCAAAAGTCACAACTACTTCGGACTACGGCCGGAAAACGTGGTCCAATTTGATCAAGGGCTTTTACCCTGTTTCGATCTCAGCGGGCGCATCTTCCTCGAGAACAAGAATAAAGTGGCCTTGGCTCCAGACGGCAACGGAGGCATCTACCGTGCACTCCGCGACAAGGGCATCCTGAACGATCTGCAACGACGGGGAATTCGGCACCTTCACGTCCACAGCGTTGACAATATCCTGGTCAAAGTGGCCGATCCCGCGTTCATCGGCTATTGCGTTGACAAAAACGCGGATTGTGGCGCGAAGGTCGTGCGAAAATCCAGCCCATCGGAAGCAGTTGGCGTCGTATGCCAAGTCGACGGCCGTTTCCAGGTGGTCGAGTATAGCGAAATCACGGAAGAGACTGCCAATCTCCGCGACGAAGAGGGAAACTTAGTATTTAGCGCCGGTAGTATTTGTAATCACTACTTTTCGACCAATTTTCTAAACGAAATCGCCGCGAAACACCTGAAAAAGCTGAAACTACACGTTGCCAAAAAGAAAATACCGTTCGTCGACGAAAACGGCGACAAAGTCAAGCCGGATAAGGCCAACGGAATTAAAATCGAAAAATTTGTGTTCGACGTCTTTCAGTTTAGTGACCATTTTGTTACGTGGGAAGTTCCTCGCCACTCCGAATTTAGCGCGTTGAAAAATTCAGACGATGTTGGAAGGGACTGCCCGTCAACCAGCCGGAAGGACTTATTTAGTTTGCATAAGAAGTACATCGCGGCCGCCGGCGGAACCGTCGTCGGTGATATCGTCGAAATTTCGCCGCTGGTGTCGTACGCGGGCGAAAGCCTAAACGAGAAGGTCGAAGGTAAAGTCTTTCGCGAACCCGTTCTCGTTAATTACGAAAAGGCCATCACCAACGGGCACTCCTAACTCGCGGCGCGCGTGGTACTTCTTGCATACTTTTCCATTCCTTCTTATTGTTTTATCTATTTATGAAGTATTATATTTTTTATTGGCAATAATTATATTACCTACTTGTTATTTTAGCGTAAATACTCTATTAGATCAATGCCGGTCATTGTCTGTACCAGCACTGCTCGGAATATTGATACATTTATATTATACACTGTGCAATAAATCGCAATGTTTGATACTTTCCAGTTTGTTTATCCTACACAATGTACTTGACCTTGGCCTTTCGTCCATTCAATTTGTTTATTATGGCAAGCGCTAAGTAAACCTCCCTTCCCTTCTGCAAGTGATGAGATTGCCTTGAATAAATGTGCGAATATTTGGGATAGGTCAAATACCGGTTGCCCGAGGCAAAAAGGACTTTCATTCTCGAATACTCGTCGATTAAAATTTCAAGGGGAAGCCGGAAGGCAACTAAACTTGGTGCATTTTCCACCGTTCCGCAGGTCTCTAGTTTTCCACTGACCATCTGGGGAAACAAATGCCATATTTTTCTATCAAAAACTATGCAATATAATGTCCATTCTGGGGTGGATTTAATCAAAGGCTGACTAGCCTAAAGGGTGATTGTACCTCTACACTCTTATTTATTCCACCGTTCTTGCAAAAAGAATTGGTAGCTCTTTAATAGTCACAAGCAAATCTTTTTTCAGCTTGGGCGTTCAGCAAGGTACTTAAATCACCGAACTACAGGCTGGATTCCTGGTCATTGAATGACAGCTGTAGAGTGTTCAATAGTCTCTTTATAAACATCGCCATTAATTTTAGCGCCCTATACTCAATGGAATCTCCGCACAATCGTAGAAAACCGTTGTCGTTTTCGCTTTATACACTGCATCCCCATCCTCAAATCTTACTGTACTTAAAAATTAAAATTTGCAAAACTGTACCCTCGCTTCGCCCCTTGCACTAACTGAAGCTTTAAATCTTCTCTCTCAACACCCTCTTTATGGTCTCCTGTGTTCTTGCATCAAGAGGGCTACCAGATTTTGGATCCTCTTGTATGGATTCTCGATCCCAACGTAATTGTTCCGACCAGAATTTTACTTGATAATATGATGGAACAGTATCACCAAACAACAAAGGGCCAGACAATTCCAAAAGCGGCCCTAAATCGATTTTTACCACTCGCAGCCGGCAGGGAGGTAGGTTAATAAAATAACCTCAAATTTTCCGAGAAAAACCTTGTAAAAAACTGTTTTTTTTTTGTATTCTATTTTTATTTTCGCGAAAAAAAGTCGCAGGGGTCTGAAATTTGGAGGAACATGTAATTTTTTATGGCAAAAAAGCAGGAAACATCTTGGGTCCGCACACAAGAGGTATAAATAATAGGTTTATTGATTTTTTTAAAAATATGTGTTTACTAACGAATTATAGCGTATCATATTCTAAGTGTATTGCAAATAATAAGTAATAACTCCCAGCTTAAGTGCTTTCAAAATACTACGCAATTTATAACGAAATCATCAATGGGCGTGTGTTTATTGGCATTTTGAAAATTATGTTTTTCGAAAACTTGATGGACACCTCCAAGGGGTCAGAACACGTTCACACACAACATAATGCTATAGAATTTATTTAACAGATCATTGAATGAGAAATATCTAGTCATAAATATTCACAGTTCGAAAGGCGGAAGCTGTTTGATATTAATTATTGTATTTTTAAGCAGTAGGTAGCGTAGACAATTTTTTCGTCCACGTTCCAATATGGATATATGAGGTCAACCTTAAGTGAAATTATGCTAGTGCCGAAAAAATTACATAAGAATGTAAATTGGGTGAGTAACTCAACCGTCAAGCAATTGGAATACCCGCGCACTCAAGCGTAGTTCAAAGACAAATGAAAGTAAATATCTTGCATGCACCTTTTCCTCTATGCATTTCAAATGACCTTTGCAATCTCGGTTGCAATCATATTTCCTTTCTAATATTTTTATTGTTTTCTTTTTTTGGAACGCTTCGGAAACAGTAAATCGTATCCTTAAATTCCTTTGAGAATGTTGTGCGATATTTGGGATGGCGTTTTTGCTCTTTCAAAAATTCATAAAGATTCGAAAAATCACAAAGATTTAAATTTATTTTTGCTTAGACTTCTAATGATCTGAAATTGTGGTAAATTTCATCTAAACAATTCCAGAACATTAAAAAAAAATTTGAACCAAAAACTCAATTACGAGGTAGGGTCCATAGAAGTCGCAGTGTCAAACGTCCATCATGTTGATATCCAAAAATATGTCAAAATCGTTATTTATTTGTCGATATCATTGGAAAAGCGGCCCTAGCCAAAACCTAGATGACCAACAATCTAATGGATTTTGGTGATAACGTGTATATTAACTACGAACTCATTATTCGTGAACCAATTTTAAAACTTCATTGTTCGATGCCCACGATATTATTAGTATATACGTCTTGGGTGCCCTTTGCTTGTTGTTAACATCCTAGTTTTTTCATAGATTTCTTTTGTAACGCGGTTGTAGTGGACAAGCGCAATGATTCATGTACAGTGTGTCCACGGATTGAGTGCACATAAGATGTAGGTTTGTCAAATTTTGTTTAGTGTTGGGTCTTCATGTTCTCATAATCGCTCCTCCTTAGTCTCAAACTAAGATATCGAAAAATGAGATAAAAGAATTAATATACAGGGTATTTTTTGCCGAATTCCAAAAATTAGTCATCATTTTAACAGATATAACAAAAATATATTAAAAAAGTTGTTTTGAATTAATGGAAGACTTTCAATTTTCAGACAAAGCCTACTTTAATTTTTTTCATCAGTCCAATACGTTTGAGCTCTTGTTTGTAAAAAATTGAAATTCTTCCATAAGTTTTGATTCTCAACAACTTTTTTTTAATACCTACACTTTTGTTATAGCTGTTGAGGGCCCAAAACAAGAGAGGGATAATATTATTTAATTATTATTTAATTAATTATAATAAAGACAGTTTACTCCCGACTAATTTTTAGAATTCGGGAAATAAACCACCCTATATACCTATTAATTGATTTGGTTCATTTTCTTAAAATCTTAGTTTGAGACTAAGCAGGATGCTCAGAACATGAAGGCCAAATGATTGTCATATACACCTTATGTGCACTCAATCCGTCGACACACTGTACATATATGTGCTTTTTGACGGCAAATATGCTTTTGCTTAAAACGAGGCTTAAAATGTGTAAAAATCGTTCTACTGGGAGAAAACCAAGCTCAATTTCTTGATACCTTTGACAAGACCCATATATTTTTTTAGCGTCCCATTTCTTAGTTCCTAACTTTTTAGCATTTTTTTAATTGCCTGATGCTGTTGTATATAACACGAGATATAAAATATGTCTTAAGATTGTAGCAGATGCAGAACTTGATCTATACTATATTATCGATTACACCGATCTCGAAAAAATACCCCAGTACCCTTCCCCCATGAAGGACGAATGGGCGGATTTTTCCCAAGCATAATTTCATATGGGTCACTGTATACTACCTTAAAATACTACTTGCATTTTTTAAATGATGGAAACCACTATCTAAACATAAGGATGACACGGCCTGAGAGTAATTTTCAATGCTAGCTAGCATTACCTAGCGTGCACATACGAGAAATCAAAATGGAATCTGTTGGGGGTACCCATCCACTTGCTAAAAAGTGGCGATTTTCACAAATGCCGATTCGAAAATTGCAGTGATCTTATAAATTTCAAAAGAATCAAACACTTACCAAACACTGCCACTGAATTATTTAACAGGAATTCGCACAAGAAACACTCACCAGTTGTAGAAACCATTCGTTTATACGAATTAATCGCATGTGATAGGTACCTACAGATTTCGCGCCAAAACAACAGCTGATACGCGTTGTTGCCAGACTTCACATGCAACTTGACATTTTCAAATGTAATTAGACGCACGCTTTGCGTATACGACCTCGTATTTACTAAAAATCGTCAAAATTAGGACGATGCCTTTCTTTTAATCTGGATAGAGCAAAAGAAGCGCCTAGAATACTTTCTGAAGCTATCTTCTGGCATTGTTTAAATACTTTTTAAACAATGCTTCTGAGCTATTTACACACCTTTCTAAACCCTTCTATGTTCACCTAATTTGAGTTAAAGGGATCTAATAAGGAATCAGAAAGCTCTCGAAGGAGAGAAGCCTCAAAAGTCGTAGGCTTTTGCAAACTATTGCAAAGATCTTCCTATACAATCAAAAGGTTTATGTTTTCGCTCTATACGTTTTCGTCTACTATTATACTATACATTTTCATACTCTGATCTTAGTTTTCTAGAATAAGAGGGACAATAAATAAATAAACAAAATAGCTCTGAAAAAGGTATATTGAACCTTTGAAGGGGCATATGTCATTGTCAGTGAACCTCAAATACATGCTATAGGTACTTTCCTATATAGGCACTTTACAAAACTACTCTCAGAGGCTTTCTAAGAAAAAAACCTAGAAAACCTTGGACATTTTGAAACCTTTATAAGTAGCGTAACAGGTATCTGCAAAGAGCTACAATTCCACATTATTCAAAAACTTTCCAAGCTTTCTGGAAGCAATTTGTTTACGTAAATGTCACCGTATAAGTAGTAAATACTCCGTTCATTCGATTTATAAAAAATCCGCTGTAATCGTGAGTTTCCCAAGAAGGTTTGAGGAAAATATTTGACACTCCCGAATTTTATAGGAAAATGTTTGACACCCCCGTAGAAGTGAATATCATTTGTTCAGAAAATTAAAGATGACGTGTCTCCAGATGTACTCGCGCTTGTACAATTTTGATTTATAAAAAATCTTCAAAAGGGCACCTTTCGCTCCTCCCATCGACGAGGGTAACACAACTGGACAAGTACGACTTTTCCTGCACTACGACTTTGGGTCTATTCGCCTACGTGAACTAAAAACCGTTTTGTCTTACAAAATTTCAACTTGGAGAAACGTGTACGGGTTCCTACAGTACCAACTCTAAGAACCCCTTCTCACGAGGCCTTACTGTGTCGCAGGCACAACTAGTAGCGTATTCAGCGCCCTAACTATCTAAAAATGTAGTTTTTATGACCCTTTATCGATCCCAACATTTTGAAATTTTTTTCTTCACTCCGTCCCGGAATTTTTGAAAAATGTTGTATGCTCTCCTAATACGCCATGTTTTAAAAAAACGACGGCCTCATCTTGGTATGTGCGCTTTCCACACAACAAACTTGTCTTGCTTTGCGAGGGGTGCTACTGAATCGCGCCGTGTTAAAGGGTCGCGGTACAACCACTGCGCATTTGTGGAGCGAAAGTTCGCTACAACTCGCTCCACAGCGCCGCTCCGTATAAAGCAATATTCTGCTACCAGCGCTTCAAAAACGCCTAGTGAAAAAGGGGCCTAAGGGTGAAACAACTCTTCCTCCACTTCCGAAATGGTGGTTTTGCTTGTTACTCCTCTAAAGGCGCGTTTCCGCCAGGAAATACCGCGAATCCGATGCATGGTGAGACAAGCCTCGCCCTGAGCTTAGCGGCGTATGAAAGTCAGGTGTCAGGTTTATGGGTACTACAAGGACAATAAAAATCAAAACTTATAAATGTATTTGCTATACATTTTCGTCTAACCATTTTGAACATTTAGGTATCTAGAAAAAATATGAGCAGTTTATGTTCGATTGTGTGCAATTTATTGCCCAGGAACACCCCGAATATGAAAGGGGATAAGCTGAAAATTGAAGTGTAGGCTTTTGATACTGGAGAAAGATTCTCAGAAATTCAGATAGAAGCTTATTAATCTGCTTTAAAATAGAACATTTCATAATTTTGCCTGATATTTTCAAATTTGATAAAGTGCACTAGCCATCAGCTGAAACCTTTCTAAGGTGCTATAAAGTATGGCGGAAAAGTCCTTGTCAAAGTTTTGCGATATACAGTGTCCATTTTTAAATGCCTTGCTAGAGATAAGGTTGTGATTAATTAGGGAAGTTGCTAAATCTATTAGCAAATATTGTGCTTCACTGATTTTTGGGTTCTTTTTTGCTTTTGAAATAATTCGAAAAATGTTCTTATACACAAACGAGTCGTATAAACTGTATGAACAAGTCCTATTTTAAAGTATATCTTGATACATATCTCAAAAGGCTCCACCCAAACTCAGAATTCCAATATTCACCTTATCCTCTTTAATTTCCGAGTTTGATAACCTATCTACACTATTCCTGATGTATTTCAGTTTATTTTGTGAAAGTTTTTTTTTCCAACAAAACTAATAAATACAATACATCAACATCAAGAACGAGCAGATACTGATATAAAAAAAGTAAATACTTAAACTGTAATGGCGCAATCATTTGGCTCTGATTGGAGATGCACCCATGCGGGTTGTTACCATTAAGTAACGATATGGTAGACTTATGCAAGTCAATACGTAACAAAAAATTGCTTAATATATAGGAAAACAATAAAGTGAATCACAAGAAAATTATATCACAACAATATAAAGGCATTAAATATAATTTAATTTTTCCGTATAGAGCATTTACGTTTTAAATGTTTAAGTGCACATTTGGCTGCTGTGCATTTGGCAATTCGGTAATTTCTACCAATTCCTTTAAAAAGTCCTTTACCAAATACCTCGACGGAAACGCGTACGCGACGTCCGTCGGCTAATTTTTCAGGTTTACCAAATTTGGCAGTTTCTGGTTCCAGTTCCAGAAGTTCACGTATCGGCGATTTTGGAACGTGATCGCTGAACTTTTCGATTTCATTCTTCATCATTCGATAGTATACCCTCCATACAGCATCCAAAGACATACCGGAATCCAGAAAGATCGCTCCCGCGACCGATTCAAAAACATCACCTAATGCTTTAGGAACTTCAACGTCCTCAACTTCTTCACATTCGTATTCGGCTAGCAAATATAAATCTTCCACTAAAGCGTGACCGCTCTCTTCCTGGATACGGACAAACCGTTCAATCACTTCGTGTAAAGCTGGAGATAAGTGTCGGAAATACCGGTGAAAACCATGACGGACAGCTAAGGATGCGAAAATTGTATTGTTGACTAAAGCAGAACGTAGATCTGTCAACGCCCCCGGAGAATGCATGCGAGGATCCTCATATAAATGTCTAGTGATAACGTAGTCTAAAACGGCATCGCCTAAAAACTCTAATCTTTGATAACAATCAGTCAATGCATTAGGAAAATACGAAGCGTGTGTCAATGCTTGTAATAAATATGAACGATCCGTAAAGTGATAACCTATACTATCTTCAAACAGATGATACCCATCTAGTAAAATGCTCAGTTCTGTTTCTGGATTGGGTATGTTCCGTAGTAAGGGCGTCTTCGGAGGTTCCAATTCGCCATAGCTGCCATCTGCTTGTTGAGGCAACACTTTCATACCAAGCCATGCCATAAATAGCAATGCGCCTCTCGGACCGCAATCTATAAGATAGGCGCCGATTAGCGCCTCGACACAGTCTGCAATACTTTTATCGGGAATACTGTGCTGCGTAACTAAATTATATGGAATGACGCTAGGCAGATCTTCTAATGTTTCACCATGCTCTCTAACCATTTGGCATATCTGCTCAAGTGTCATATCACGTGCGGCCGCCAAATGAGCAGGCGACCAATAATTCGCGGGGACGCGTGCGATAATTAAAGCCTCTTCTAACTCTTTAGGTACATAGTAGCATGGCGGTAGCCAGTTGTCATGTGGGTCAAATTTTGTCGCTATCATACATTCGCCTAATGCTTTTCTTTTGCCTAAACGATACAAGTTCAGGTTGCTAACTTGTTTCGAACGCAAATGACTCAATTTGCCTTCGTGGACGTTATCATACTTTGAATACAAGAAGGTGGTTATGGCATACTTCAAATGCGAGTCGCCAATCGTTTCCAGTCTTTCTAAATTAATCCCATCATTTGCATTAGACATGGTAAGTGCTTGTAATATAACACTTGGACTAGGTCCAGGATGTTGCGCCAAATCAGGCTGTTTATCGAAACTGAATGCCAACTCTTCATTGGCCACCTGTGAGGCAATAGTAGGTACTTGGGAGGTAGGTTGTGACGCAACCGCCATCTGCTTGGATTTGTGGCGAATATGATGAGCCATACTGCTGTACATCTGTGCATTAAACGTTTCTTCAATTTGTTTAGCACTCTTAGTGAATGACACATCTTTGGACACCAAAACTTTGTCAGAAAGTAAATACTGCGAATTTTCCGAACACGCCGCTTGAAATTGGACTTTTAACTCTTCCGACCGTTCAGAGTTACTAATACTCGTCCAGTGGTCAGTCATCACAAGACCGCCGTCATCCACGCCTACCTTATCAGATTCTACCGCTTCCGCTGTATTATCTCCCATAAATTCAATCCGCAATCCTCCACAATCAGAATTTGAAGCATCATCGACAAATGATGATTCGTCCGAATCAGAAAAGTCGTCATAAGTCGTATGTATCCAACTAGTGGGGGATGAATATCGAATCACGGTACCGTCGACACATCCATTACAACCGGCCATATCGTTAGACCATGTCCCAATTTCGACCCATAACTTTGACTCTTCATCACTTTCGGAGCAGCCACTGTCTTCTTCTGCATGGTTCGACCCAACTTCTGGCACACACTTGCCATTTACGCAAACTGGCGGTTCGTCGACGACCTCCGTTTCATTACTAGGCTCTACTTTAACAGTTTGTTCTTTGGTTTTCTTAAAGACGTCGGACAAGTTCCATCCAAAATTTAAAGGCGGCCATCTGAAACCTTCACTTTCTGTTAACACCATATTCATTTTAGTGAAGTCGCTAAAGGTGTTGACCTTAAAAACCACTTACAACATTCCTATCTCACCCTTAACCACACAAGAAAATTTTATACATTTTCAAAAATACAAGGTATCCGTCGGCCATTGTCATTGAGTGTCGTAGACGAATGAATGGAAGTAGTAAGGAGTCTACTGATTGTTCGTTGAAATAAAAAATTCACTGCATAACCGGAGAGTTGTTTTTTGAATATCTTGCAAATATACAGGATGTTACATATAAGTATGTAAAAAAAATTGGGTGGTAGAGGTACTTTTTCCAAATAAACCGAGGGTCCAACGTGTTTCGTCTGGGAACCACCCCCAAAGAAGTGGTGAAATTTTTATTTCTTCTTTAATTTTTTTCTCAGCAACCATAAGAGTTAGAAAGACTGGTGGCACGTCTTTGAATAGGTTTTCGGGTATGCCCTTTCCGATTTTGCAAAATTCCTACCACGAAATGGCGCACCCTTAAATGGGGATGCGAAAAAAAATTCTGATTTCGAAGAAATTTGATATCTGGGGGTTTTTGAAAATCACCAATCTGAAATTAGTTTCTGAAAATTAGAAATTCCATTGCAATTCTTGTCCGGACAACAAAAATGAAGAGAATTCCACGAAATTTGTTGTTTCCCATCACTCGCAGCCACGCACAATCTACATTTTTTTGGAATCAAATTTGCAGACTTCAATACAATGATCAACATATCGAATTTTTTAATATCATTTAATCATAATATCAAAATCGCTATTTATTTTCTTGGAAAAAAGACCAAACTCGATTGCCGTGATCAATAGCTTAAGGCTCCTCTGTAGTCAATTTGTATTTCAGTGTTATTACAATTGGTTAGACCACGAACAATACACACTGCTACATGATCTCCTTGAGTGAAACCAACGATGTATCATCTATCCTTCTCAGTTTTGCATATTCTCTTCACTTATTGTTAAACACAATAGACCATGTATAATGATCAAGGACTAATTATGTAAACAAGTTTATCGAAAAGCTGTACAATATTTGACTGGAGATGCACAAATACCTATTTCTGTTACCGTTGAATAAATTATTTATTCAATGCATTTATTGCATTTTTCTATATTGACACCTTCTGTAAATTATTTGGTTTTCAGGTAATTAGTGGACTAGATTAGCATTGTTTGTTATGACATTTTTTAATTACCCCATTATTTCTTGTGATTTGTTCTAATCATTTTTACTGATTTATAGATTTTTATAATTATTAGGTACATGTGCATGAATGAATTCACTTAGGTATGGTAGATCCTAAAAAAACCGGCACTTCGAACACCTAAAATAAATCTTTCTTTACTTATATACAAGGGTGAACAACAACAAAAATTGTATGTTTTTCATAAAAATGGTAGCTAACATTTAAAATTCTGTTACAATGATTAAAAGTATAACATTTATACTGATTCTAAATAAATCCTTATCTTTCCAAAAACTAATAACAATTGTACATTTAGCATATTACTTATTTATATCTATGCACGACCCATGGAGAATTTTTCCGAACATCTTTTGTGCGGTAAGATGACTTCACTTTTTTACCCTAAATTCAATGGTAAAAATAAAATTTACTTGATCCTCCTATTTTTTGAGGGACAAATATTCCTGTTGATAATAAGTGAAAAAATGCCTATGTGTCATTTGTTATGGAAAGCAAAGGGCATGTGCATCTTTTGCTTTTGGTCGCATTTTTCGAAACAGATAATTTTCACTTACTCTCAGTTCAGTATGCAGATAATTTTGAGCTGCAAAAGGTGGTGTAAAAGATTTTATTGTTTTAAATGGTCCATTTGGGTCCAAGTAACATGTATTTGAGTGCGCACAAATTTTTTCCCGGCACAACTTTTGGCAGCCCAAAAACCTCAAAATTTTTGGCATTTTTTTAGTTTTTCGCTTAACAGTCGAAAACGGTCCATATTTTATGAATTGGTTTGTAAATTGAAGAAAACAAAATTATGCGTCGATCAAAAAAAAAACAAACAAAATCGGTCCAATAGAAAAATTTTTACAAGCGATCAAAAAACGCCCATTTTTTCCAACGAATTTTAAAAATTGGTCCAGTTTTAAATTGGTGGTACTCTCTGATTGATATTCTACAATTTTTAGGAAGGGGGGGGTGGTAGTGGATTATATCGTTCCTTAGGAGCCACAGCGCATTAAAAAAAGGTTAACTCAGTTCTTTAGAAAAGTTGAAAAAAATGGGCGTTTGTAAAAATTTTTCTATTGGACCGATTTTGTTTGTTTTTTTTATCGGCGCAGAATTTTGTTTTCTTTAATTTACTAAAGAAGTGTTATTCATAAAATATGGACCGTTTTTGAGTTTTAAGCGAAAAACTGAAAAAAGTCCGAAGGTTTTGAGGTTTTTTGGCTGCCAAAAGTTGTGCCGGGAAAAAATTGGTGTGCACTCTTCAAATACATGTTATTTGGACCCAAATGGACCATTTAAAACGTTAAAATCGTTTACACCACATTTTGCAGGAATCGGCCCTTCTGACTGCTCCACATACTGGATTATCTGAGGAAACTGATAATTTCAGATGGGAAATATACACAAACGTGTAATTTAGTCATATTTGATTTGATCTAACTAAACAAAGTGCTACGCTTCTGGTAGTTTGAAAGCATTATTATAAAACAGAGTTCATATTCAGCACTACTTATGATATAATATGTGAATTACCTAGTATTATACGTACCCCCCCGCCGCGTCAAAGGGAAATATTATTACAGTCTCATTATAGGTTTTTTTTTTTAATTTCTTAAAGCATCTGATGGGATGCAAAAGGTTTTAGAAATAAAAAATTATTTCCAATGTACCTATAATAGGATATCCATTTTTCGTCTTGGGAATATGTGACATTATGATTTACAAATCAACAGCATTCAAATAAATAAATAATAAATAGTAATTTATCTAATCCGTATCATTAGGAACGGCATAACAATGTGTAGGGTAATACCAGGTAGTTTTTTTTGTTTTCTCTTTCAAGTAATGAGTTGTCGCCTCAGGCGTTATAAGTGCAATTTGAGTTGCCTATCCTTACGTTAGCGTTTTGATTTTTTTCTGAAAATTGCGAAACATATTTTTTAAAATATATGCCTTATCATAATAGATGGAAATAATATCTTTAAGTACCGCCGTAAGAAATACTGTCGGATTTCCAAATTGGTACTGTACGTTTTTCTACCCTCATTACAACGGCTGTTATCTACAAAAAACGATTTTTCTATTCATCGATCTTCCTAAAAAACTAAGACCGATATTTCAATTTTTTTAAGTACCGCCGTTCTTTTCATCATTGCAAAGAGTATCCACTATCGAGAATTTGTTAGACTTCAACGACAAAAGCAGCATTTCATAAGAAAGTTTAGCTATTTTTCCAATATGGCGGATTGACTACAGAGGAGCCTTAAGACCATGTGGAGTTTATATATGAGGATTTGAACCACGATTTGTAACTTCAGATTATTTCGTCACTTCAAAAATATAAATTTGGTCATTAATATGTGAAAAGCATTATTTGTTCTTATCAGTTCTTAGAATAACCGAAGAATGGTGTAGGGATCACTTCTTATCCATCAATCCGACAAAAACTGAACTAGTTCTCTTCACATGAAAAAGAAACAACGAACAACTCCCACGCCCGTTATGGAGGCCCTTCTGAGTCTGCCTCCCTAGATCTCCACGTGAGAGAGAAGGCCACTCTGGTGCCCTGTTCAGAGTCAGTGAGACATTTAGGCATCACACTTCACAAATAACGTAGAGGGGTCGGACGACTCTAGTCAGCAGGTGGTACAAAGGGCCCGAATTTGAGACCTAGGAACGTGGACCCTGTCCACCCTCCTCTCATAATCCAGAATAAGACGTAGAAGTTTCATTTATAGAATTATGTGATATGTCGAAATAAATTCAATTATTAATTTAATTCATTATTATTAAGTATTCTGCAAAGCATCGCTAAAAAGATTTCATGTTTTTAAATGAATGCGTTCTCACTTAAGCTACACTACCGTTTACGCCTCCACACATTTAAAAACATGCCGGCCTGTGTGCCACAGTGGTGTGGAGCCCGACTGTGGTACTAAAGGTCCCTGGTTCAAACCGGGTTCAGGCATGGAACTGAAACCACGCCCACTTAAAAATAAAGACATAAATAAATCTATATTTAGCAATGTTTTGCAGCGTAGCATCGCGTCGCGTCGCCGAGCTGAGTGTAGCGCATGTGAGAATCGACCTTTACCCTTTAAAATGAAGATGAAACTGAACGATTCCTTACCACTGATACGACTTTGAATTCTCAAAGCTACTCAATAATTTTTTTATAGTCATTATGAGCCTTTAGCGACCACACTACTACAAAAATAGAATGACAAACTCACTATTTTGCAGCTCGACTTTGCCCAGATCCAACTCGAGTGCAACGATTCTGCGGATCTGATCTGCCAGCAACAAAGCGTTAATTCTATACAATATACAAGGAAGGCAAACAGCTTTTCTCCACAAAGACGCTGGAAATGGATGTATTGCACATAATTCAGGTACTAAAATTTGCTTCTGTTCCAAATTTTCCCGCTTCGCGCGCTTCGTTTCTTCACTGCTCGTCGGCAAGGCGACCCCCTTACGATTAACGTAACGCGGCGTAAGGAAGTTTAAACGCGCCGAGGTATGGTCAACGTCCAAGAGGTGCTGTTCGGAATTCTGTATCGTAATCCCGTACTTTCTGAAGTAATATTCTCGGAATGTAGCGTACTCGGACCCCGGAAAACTTGACTCTGGATTTAGGCTACCGCATATTTCTGCCACATAAAAGTACTGTGGCTGATCTTGGTTACGATACCACGGCATCACGACCGCATCTTTATACTGTGACGGATCGAATTGATAATTCACACGTTCTTCCTCGGGAATGATCTGAGGTAAAACATCGCGATTTTTGTAAATGAGATCCACAAAATCCCAGTCGACTGTTGTTCCCTTTTCACCTGAAACAGTACAAACTCGTAAATTAATTATTTTTCACCTTATTGTACCACTGTAGTGGTAGTGACAGAACGCGAGAAGGAATACGGTTATAGTGTCTAGGCGATAAAGACATCTAACTGGACATTTTGAGGTGGAAAAGATAAAAATGGTGGAATATGTTCAGTTAGGTGTCAGAAACAACATATTAAAAATCCCACCCCCTAGACCCTGTGCTAAAGGCTCCAGCCACCCCACCATCCCCCAAAAACCGTGTTTTCGCTCTTTTTGGCTGATATCTCGCGATTTATGAGGTCTATATGAAATATTTTTAACTGAACATATTTCTCGGGAAATTTCATACAAGGTAGATACTCAGTAGTTAGCCTAGGTTTACCACTTAGCCTAGGAAATTCATAAAAGAGGCGAAAATCATCAATTTTCGTGGCTTTTTGCAAATATATCGCGACCTTTAGGGCTAGATGAAATATTTTTAGCTGAAAATGCTCCTCGTGAAATTTCTTACAAGGTAGATACTCAGAAGTTAGCCTAGGTGTACCTCTTAGCATAGAAAATTCATAAAAGGAGGCGAAAATCATCATTTTCGTGTTTTTTTTGCGGTTTTTTGCAAATATATCGCAACTTTCAGGGCTAGATGGAATATATTTAGCTGAAAATGCTCTTCGTGCAATTTCATACGAGATAGGTAACTGAAGAGTTGGCGTAAAGTCACCTTTCACCTTCAACTTTCATGTGTGAGGAAATATTCATTGTAAAACAAAGTTATTCACGTAAAAACAGTATTTTCATATTAAAATATTCACACATTCATTTATACCTCAACGTAATCATTATCCTCTGCAGATTCCACTTCTTCAGGCTCTTCAACGTCCTCTAGTGCTAGTGGGTCGTCTGAAATTACCGACTCGTAGTTCTTCTCGCCTTCCGCTTTACCTGCATGGGTACCCTGAAACGACGACGTCGCATTTAGGCACGATGTTCCATGACACTGTCTCGACACACGAGAGAATATTATAATCGTATACATAATTATAAACATTTTTTTGACATAATGCTTCTTGTTGTAGGTCTAAAGTGTAATGAACTCTGCGTCCAGTGTCATGGAGCATCGTGCCTAAATGCCACGTCGTCTCTTCAGGGTACCCATGCAGGTAAAGCGGAAGCGAGGAGAACTACGAGTCGGTAATTTCAGACGACCCACTAGCACTAGAGGACGTTGAAGAGCCTGAAGAAGTGGAATCTGCAGAGGATAATGATTACGTTGAGGTATAAATGAATGTGTGAATATTTTAATATGAAAATACTGTTTTTACGTGAATAAATGGTACATAGAAATACTTTGTTTTACATGAATATTTCCTCACACATGAAAGTTGAAGGTGAAAGGTGACTTTACGCCCACTCTTCAGTTACCTATCTCGTATGAAATTGCACGAAGAGCATTTTCAGTTAAACATATTTCATTAGCCCTGAAGGTCGCGATATTTTTGCAAAAAACCGCAAAAAAAAACACGAAAATGATGACTTTTATGAATTTTCTAGGCTAAGAGGTACACCTAGGCTAACTCTGAGTATCTACCTTGTAAAAAATTTCACGAGGAGCATTTTCAGCTAAAAATATTTCATCTAGCCCTAAAGGTCGCGATATATTTGCAAAAAGCCACAAAAATTGATGATTTTCACCTCTTTTATGAATTTCCTAGGCTAAGAGGTATACCTAGGCTAACTTCTGAGTATCTACCTTGTATGAAATTTCCCGAGAAATATTTTCAGCTAAAAATATTTCATATAGACCTCATAGATCGCGAGATATCAGCCAAAAAGAGCGAAAACACGGTTTTTGGGGGATAGTGGGGTGGCTGCAGCCTTTAGCACAGGGTCTGGAGGGTGGGATCATTATTATTATTATTATTATCCCTCTCTTGTTTTGGGCCCTCAACAGGCATGCGCCGAATTACAGAGTGACCCGTATAATGCTATTTAGAGGTGCCTCTGCGGAAGGTCTTAAGTTGGTCTATACTACTCCGGTATTTACCTTACGAATTAGGTAAACTGCAGGAAAACCTAATTCGGAGTAGCCGGTAGAATGCTCGGAACTGGTCTAAGGTAATTTCCATCTCCGCCACAGATGAAAAATTCACCTCAGCCCAGGTTCGAACACCCGACCTTCGGATTTATAACCCAATGCTCTACCACTGAGCCATAAATCCGATTTTTAATATGTTGTTTCTGACACCTAACTGAACATATTCCACCATTTTTTTCTTTTCCACCTCAAAATATCCGGTTTGCCAATTTTACAGTCTCTATCGCCTAGGCCCTAGACTATTAGTCAAACATTAAAAAGATACTTACCATCCCGTGTTGGCGCAATCAGAAAGCAGTTGTCCGATGCGATGGGATTGAAAAGCATCAAATACCTTTGCAATCGAAGAACGCTTGTGAAAGTGTAATTTAAAAATTCGCAAATCTTTTCGATTTGCTCTTGGGTCATTTCGAGCGCATCTGAACAAAGCTCCAAATCCACACTCACTTCTCCAGAGCGAGTAAATATGGGAAATGGACAGATCTGCAACGCGATTTGTTGAATAAAGCTATAGCGAAGACAGTAAAATAAATACCTTTGGAATAGGTTTCGAGGTTAAAATGCCGAAGCCCTGTACGGATTCTTCGGGTGGATAGATCCTGCGACCTCTAGTGTTTTGCTCTTCAGGTAACGGACACGTGAGGGTCATCACAATTTTATAAAAGTAACTGGTAGTTTTAGAGCTAGGCAGACAACTCATTAGAGATTCCGCAATACGTTTGTAATAATACTGGCGGCGCTTCGTCGTTCCCGGCCTCGGTTCGAGGTTTTCTTTTGTGATAACCTCGTCGACCTCCTCCAAGATTAAGTTATTCCAATCTTCTTCATTGGCTCGAAAATTTTCCTTGCTGATCGGCTGTAAACTGTTGTCTAGTTCGCCGGTCTCGTGCAGTAGCTTGCAAGTTTTGAACGCGGCATCTCTACACGCCAAAAGAGGGCTAACTGCAGACAACCCCACAATTTTTTGTTTGACGGGCGAGTTAATAGGCAGGCGAAGGTTGCATGTGTAAAAACCGTCATCTTCAGATACGTCCCACAACGTAGTTAGTCGAGTGAAGGTATCACTGGGAAGTTTCGCGCAATAACGATTAACGAGAGTGATGGCCGTCGAATATGTAACTGATGGAGCATCTGCTTCGATGGATGGTTTATAAACTGGTGACGAAATGGAATGGCGATCGGCTTCAATTTCATCTGTCTCGTTCGGTTCAGAACCGTAACATCGCCTTAGTAGCGTCTTTTCTACCTCTAAGTATTCCGCTAGTTGAGTAACAAACTGGGTTCTCTCGTGCTCGGTTACAATAATTAAGTAATGAGCGTCGGCGGCACGCGCTCTGGCTTTACTTTGTACGTAGCTATGGAAGGACGTAGGTATATCAAAACGAATAACTAAATTACATTTGGGTAAATCACAACCCTGTTCGAGTATCGATGTGGCAACCATTATGTTACAATCGTGGGTACGGTATTTTCTAAGTACTTCTTCCTGAATAAGATGCTCTAGCTCGGCGTCGTGAGGTTCTTTCACGGGATCTGCTACTTTCTCCACGGAATATAGTGAGGATAACCACCAATAGTCAGGATCGTTCAGTTGCATCGTCTGGAACAATGGAAATAAAAATGAGTTTCTTCTTCGTATGGCGTATTTGATGTGTTTGGAAGTCATACGACGAGTAAGTACTTTTACAGTGGTGTAAAAAGAAATGTAATTAAAGAGCTACAATTATCCACAAGTTTATTTGATCGTTTGATGCTTATAAATGGACAGCATTGAGCAAATGACCTCCAAAATTGCAAAATTATTTGTTCGAATTGAAATGCCCCGCTTCCGCCTATAACATGAAAATATTAAATGCCATACAAAATAGAAAAGTCAAGTGCTGGAATTTAATAGTGAACCTGAATAAGAACCATTGTTGGTATTATCAAATTCCTGGCCAACTTCGAGTAACAAACAGAAGTAGGTACAGCAATACTTCCTGTATGGACTTCCAAAGAAGATCCTTTGAAGTTAGCATACATTCGGAAGGATACCAAGTTTTGGTTAACCAAAATGCAACCGTAGTCAATCAAATTTTACATGGATTGTATTTTACCGGAACTTGTGGACCATAGGAAAACTCAGAATATACCAATCCGAAATCCAGACTATACATTGAAAGTTATAGAAGAAAAAAGAAGGGAAAATAATAACAATTATGTACACCTATGCTTCTTTGTTTTTACCACGGTATATTTGAGATTGATCCCTATGAACTCCAGGTTTATTTGGAACATCAGGGGTCATCCACCAAGCAAAATAGGGTACATCAAATGCTGTACTGCCACTGTTAAAATGTCAGTATGATCGGATTACAAATAAGAAAGTTGCGCACGCGCATGTTTAATTTAATGGATCGATTTGCATTTAGTAAAGGGCGCTACTGTTAAAATTTCCATAAGATCGGTCCATAAATAAAAAATTTACTTCTGCGCATGAGCAGAAGGATGAGGCCTGTCGGTCTGAAAATTAATAGGTGTCATCTCCAAGATGCAAGTAATACGCCTGCAAAAATTACTATAAAATAAAAGCAATTAAAAAAATAAATAAAAATATAAGCAATTTGTCCCATTAAATTTTGAGTTATCGTGCTAACAAGCCACAACTGACAGATGGACAGGCCCTGAAAATAAACAAGTTGTAAATCAACATATGCATGATGAAAGCACATTTTTGGTAATGCAGATCAGTATTTCATTAGCAAAGTTTAAAATTATCGATCTCACAAGTAATAGACTAGAGCCTGCACATCTACAGTACATCAGAAAACTTTTAGTAAAAATTTAAAGTCTCTAGCTATTGTAATTGCTGAGATCTCAGCCGGACAGCCAGCCAGCCAGCCGTAACGAATATAATAGCGTATTTTTTTTCAAAAATGCGCTAATTATTAACTTGTTATACTGATAGCTCTATCTAACGGTAAAATTATAGCACCTCTGAAAACCCTATCGAAATTATTTTCTTAGATTATAGATCTCACAAGTAATCTAACTCAAAATAGACTAGAGCCTGCACATCTACAGTACATCAGAAAACGTTTAGTAAAAATTTAAAGTCTCTAGCTATTGTAATTGCTGAGATCTCAGTCGGACAGCCAGCCAGCCATAACGAATATAATTTATTTTTTATTTTTGTATTTTTTCCAAAAATGCGCTAAAAATCTAAATAAAATCCATTTACCTTAAGTAACGTAAAAATGACTTTCGCTGTAATACGATTTTGCACAAAAACCAGTGCGCACAAATTATCCTCCAAAGGGGGCCTCGGTATATACGGACGCCTTGCCCCTCTAACATTTTTCCCTCTATTAGTCTTCACATTATTTGCCGGAGCCGGTTGACCTTCGACATTAACTACAGATTCTTTCGGTTTTTCGCCGGCCGGCTTAAACTCCTTCAGTATTTCCAAAAGCCGCAACACCTTCGGACTGGAATACCGGTACACTTTCTCCATTTCGGAGAGCCCTTGGAATTCGTCGTCGCACGTCGCTCTTACGCGAATTAAAACCGTAAAAACCATTAACAACAGGAGGTAGTGACGCTCGTAGGGAACTTTCACTTTCAATCGTTCTATCAAAGAAATCATAGAGTATGCAGCCTGGTCAGCGGCCCACGGTCCTAAATCTCTCAATACGTCTAAAAATTCTAATAGCATCTCTTTTGGTTTGGATTTAGGATCAGGCATGGCTAATAATTCGGCTAAATAAGTTTCATCTGTGTATATTTCGGTAGGCGCAAACCGATGATCATCCATAAATTCCAATGCCTCTAGTGCAATCTTCTCGAGGTTTTGTTGCAAAGGTGAAACTTGCCCCATCGAGGCACACTCCACTAATCTTTCTTGGGGACGACAACAAAACCTCAACAATGTAACTAGTTCACTCGAAGTATTAACAGAACTACATAACAAATTCTCGAGGCGCTGCAATTCGTCCTCTAAACATTCTGGCCTCAGATCGGGTCCTAGTAAGCTCCCCGCTAATCCCAGTATGCGCGGCTTATCACAAGTGTTTAACTTACGGTATCTATGCATTAATACGCTTAACAGTTCCTGCCGTTCTCCGTATAAACAGTCGTCAATTACTATTAGGTTAAGAATATCGAGATCTAGGTAATCAAACTGTAGAAGTTCTGTACAAATATCTATCGTAGTTATAATAACGGAATGTGTACTAAGTATTTTAATCCAAACCTCCTCGTCAAAGACACACTCGTTTAGGTCTTTCACTGAAAGATCTGTTAACAGTCGTATGTGAGACGTCATGACATTCACGTTCAGAGGATCTAAAATAAACAAAGCTCTTTTACCGGTAGGTGATCGCATTTGCCAAGCGAGTTCTTGTAATAGCTTCACTGCGATAAAAGTTTTCGTCGTACTTGTTCCTGAGCAAACGATGGTATTTCTTTCTTTCGCGGCTTGCAGAAGCTCGACCTGATGTTCCCTCGGCGTAAAAATTTGCGTGTAAACATTTTCGATGAAATGGCACGCCATTTAACAACAATAGAGCACTGAACAAATACTAATTTACACTACAACGCGTTTCACCTACATTATAGTTGCAAAGATGTTAGTTTCGTATTATTCAAAGGTAAATCGGCTACTGTTGTGCTACACTTATTTGTTATAAAAAATGAAAACTTTTGAATTGCCATAACATAAAGGAAGAAAGAAGTATTTAAAATTGTTAGGTTATGTTTTCATAAACGATGCGCAGCGAATGAACGACGAAAAACTGTACCAACGAAAGCCGCATTCAACAATCGTATCTTCTATACATCGCATTGAAAAAGAAAAGGAGGTAATTATACATGTAATTGTGCCACATTTAATTCATAATCTGAGTACACGAATTTGTCCCAGAACCGTCTATGGGTCATTAAGCTTTAGGTTGCAATATTTTTACTTTTCCGCACCCATATAGGGGGTACATAAGGTATTATCAAAAATAAGGGAAGCAATGGGCCAATTCAACGCTGGGGGTTCGGGGTAAAAGTAAAATTAAATGACCTTTTCCTTACAATTATCGTTATCACCATGAGGTCATATATTTGTATGCTCAAATGAAGTTTGGTGACCCCCCCCCCCCTCATGGCATTTTTCCAAAAACTGGAATGAGAGTGGTCATGTAAACCTTACTGGGTGGCTATCATTAACATCCCCAACCTGCACTTGTCCACACCTTATATTGCAATAGGTTGACGAAGATAAAGTAATTTTATTTCAAGGTCAAATAGTTTTGAAGATGGCGCTAACGAAGCTTTGATAAAGAGTCACGTTCTGAATTATTGGTTTATACGGTTGTAGTGGGGTGAGCAGAGTTCACACGGAAAGTGTATTGGTGTGAGCTTATGCTGTGATCGAAAGGGGTACCCCGCCCCTTTTCTACAATAAACTTAACATGTGTTAAAAGTTTATAATAAATTAGCGCTGTTAAAAGTGTCATTATTTTCTATTTTTACACGTAAATAATGTAGTATGTAGATAAGCTCTGTTTAACTTCCAAATATGGCTTTACCGAGGGTTGATAAAAGAAACAGTAAAAGAAAATGTTTTTGGTGCATAAAAGCTGTCAAGTGGATCCCAGTTTTATTTATTGTGACAATTATTGTGTGGTCTTATTACGCCTATGTAGTACAACTATGTATAGGTAAGTGTAATTGAATCAATTCCTTATGCCCATTCGACCTCTTTCAGTTACCGTAGAATCTACCGTCAATCAAATTATATATCTCATTATCTATCACATAACGCTTATTATGTTTTGTTGGGCGTATTGGAAGACTATTTTCACTGACATAGGAAAAGTACCTGACAAGGTAGGCTGTAGTGCTACACGCTGTCATTACGACTAATGGTCTGTCGGTTTTAGTTTCATTTGCCGGATAGTGAGTATGAGAGACTGATGCATGCCGAAAACGAAGAGATGCAACGGCATATTTTAGAGACTTTCTCTAGAGAATTACCAAATACTAATTGTACTATTAATGGAACGGTGAGATATTGCGAAGAGTGTAGAAATATCAAGCCGGATAGGGCTCATCACTGTTCCGTTTGTGGTGAATGTGTACTGAAGATGGACCATCACTGTCCGTGGGTTAACAATTGCGTTTGCTTCACAAATTATAAGTTTTTTATATTATTTCTCGCTTACTCCCTAATTTACTGTATATATGTATCTTTGACGTCCCTGCAATATTTCATCGCATTTTGGAAGGTAACGTTGGCAAATGTTGAAGTTGTGTGTAAGGATTTGTTTTTAGGGCGACCTGGAAGGAATGGGAAAGTTTCACATATTGTTTCTATTTTTTGTCGCTTTGATGTTTGCTGTTAGTTTAGTATCCCTATTCGGTTACCACTGTTATTTAGTAATTTACAATCGTACCACATTAGGTAAGACATATGGTTTATTGTCCCGATCTAATATTGTAATATGCAGAAGCATTTCGACCTGCAATCTTTCGTACAGGACCCGACAAGAACGGTTTCGGCCTCGGAGTTTATAACAATTTTTTGGAAGTATTCGGCAATGATTCTAAAAAATGGTTTCTGCCTGTCAGTTCCAGGTGAGTCACAAGTTATTTTATATTCTCAAGCTTCACTATCACTGGATGGGATGCTATGCTAAAGCGGAAACCAATTGTTTATTATACTGTGTAATTATACCTAATGAATTGGCTACTATAAATGACACAGTCAGTTAATTATCTAATCAAGTAAGAGCAATGTCACTTTAATTGATAGATTCAATGATCAGATGCAATAGAGATTGATGAGGTAGGCTTATCAGCAGGCTCATTCTGTTGCTAGTCACCCATTTAGGATAAGTGGAACAATACCCCTTTATGCTGCCCAATGATGCTATCTGATTAGTATGTCGACAAAAGATTATGTCTTTACTGTTACGCATTTTTTGTGTTGTAAAGATGCTTGGTAGTTTTACACAGACTTGAATGGAAGATCCATTTATTTATTTAAAATAATCGCTGTCTTAGAAATGGTGTAACATACGAGACACCTCATTCTTTAAAAACTCAAATTTTGGTACTATTCACTTCTATATTATATTATGCTTAACCGCAATCCGAGTATACTTCTAGAATATTTGAAAGGTCTTTTAATTCTCTATTCAACCATATCAATAATCAAATCGACTGTTTCCAAATAGAAATGATTTGTGGGTCCAGCAAGATGGTGCGCCCCCACACTGTGCGGTCTTGGTACTATTATTGTATAAAAAAACCAAATAAAACTTATTTAGGTATTGCTGTTAATTAATTCCCAAGGTCCAAAGTTTATAATGCCTTTTTCATTATATGTTAAAATATCTTACTTCTCAGTCCACTTCCGATTAGGCCCACTGACTTCCAAGGTTTTTATAAGGGCAAACTATTCCTTCCTCATTTATATCGTACACAAGTTCTGGAAATAATTCCTCTTCGTAAGTATCACAACACGGTACCTAATGTGTTGAATTGGTTTTGAATTTTATTCTTGGGTGGCTCATTTGCTTTTGTTTGAATTTTTCTGGTTTTTCTCATTTTCTTTATTCTCTTTTTCAATCAATATAGCCACAGTGAGCGTGAACAAACAATTTAATATTAAAAAAAATTACCTCAATCTATAGTCATGTAAAAATTCACTTTGAGTTTTACCTATCAAAGGGAGATATTGTCATATTGAACTTTTATAATAATTTTTCGTCAATCGGTCACGGATTTTCGCTTTAAAATTACACATCGAAGTGTGTTCAGAAACTCTGCTGTCCAACAAATAAAAATTAATGAAGCAGTGGATCGGTAAAGATATAATCATTTGTCCTTCTAATTGTACACTTATTTTGTTTTGTGGGAAAGCACTAACTTTGGTTGATTGCTTTGCATGATCTTAAAACCTTCGTAGTCTCCAACCCAACAATGAATGTCTTTTATATCTTCCTAGGTGTTAACGTTTTTAGGTTCGCGCTCTTGGCTACATGCCACACTTATCTAAGTTAGTTAATGTTTATAGTGTTAAGTTTCTAAATCAACTTTTTTACCTTACTGTTGTTGTACTTGACAAGGTGCTCTTAACTGTGTTAATCTCGATTTTCGAACTTATGAAATCTAATGCACAATTTGGGGGTACTTAACTTTTTCAATGTGGCTTTGATACAGATGAAAAACAACAGCTGGTGTGGACTGTTCATATTATTATTTTTATAGTTTGGGTGATGGTGTGACGTACCCTGTGCAAAGTCAGCATCAGCCAAGGTTCTATCATTCAATGGATTCCACGCAAAACAGGTTAGAATAACGCTTTGGCATAAGTGCTGTAGGTGTTAAGATGCGAATGGCTAACATCAGTATTAATAGTGATTGTGTCTGTTTTTATTATTTGATTAATAACAATGATTTTATAATGATGTGATACACATATGATATTAAGAATAATTGAATCAAGGAATCTGTTTTTCCCACATTTTATAACACAGTGCTTTAAACATTCAGACTTCCTTGATTCATATAAATCAGAGTACTAAACCTTAAGTCGCCAATCATTATAACACCAGAAGTGTGAGATGCATGTGTCTTTTACATACTAATAGCATTTTGAATAAATTCACAATTATTCGACAGTTTTTTGAACAGCTTGTGCGTTGATACTGAAGCCACCAAGTTGTGTCCAATTGAAACTACGCCATCCATAATTTAAATTTAATATTGTTATGTACTTAAATGTGTCTTATGACGTTTAAATACAAGTCTGTAATAAATATACTAAAGATTGTTTATTTTTTATGTTCATTTTCCTATGTGAAGTGAATTACCTAAATCTTGCCTTTACAGCATAAACAAGTTCATTAAACAATTTGTATATAGTTACCATTCACGAAGCTGTTTAGTGTAGTTGTAGTACCACTCCAACTGTTGTTTTTACAAAAGTAGGTGATAAGTAATCAAATGGTTAAAGGTGAGGGAATTTCGATTGTACGTGTATTGTGTGTCACATAATCTATGAAAAGTACCATAGGTTAAAATTAGGTAACAATTACTTATAAGAATTATAATTGACTGTAACGTTTATTTTTGGTTCAGCTTGGGTGACGGCTATACATTTCCACAGAGGCATATGGACGAAGATGCTGAACACTTACTAATTGATAGCCGACACTTGGACGAAGAAACATTTTCAGTTCCCTAACAAATTGGACTTATTCGCAGTCATTTGCGATCGGGCAACTGCAGAAGTACATGACTTATAGTATAAGTTTCTTATTAGCACAAGTTTCGTTTTTCACTATTTATGTTACATTTTTAGAAAAATAGATTTTTACAAATATATTGTGTATTTCCTTACAAAGAGAAAACGATCAAAAATTGTTACGCACTTCTACATACTGGATCTCGATGGTCTTGGTGGAGTCTTGAACTCTATTACAAAACAGTCGGACGCTTCCGCAGATTATGTTGGTCCGATCCAGGTTTAATTTTTATAAAACTAACTATTTTTGATATCTGTTTGAGCAGCGTTTTGAAGATAATTGTAACAAAAACGGATTCTGGATTTCAGGTGGGGCGTCACGTAACATCGCGCGCTCGCCATTATTCGTATAAACGCTGTGACGTCACGTAATTTTTTTTTTTTATTGCCTTTATAGTGGGCGGAGTGTTAGCAATTTGCTACTCTTCCCACTCAACCCACTATACAATCACAAACAGCCATGCCTTACCTGGGATTCGAACGCAGGACCCTTGTAGCCAAAGTTAGAGCTTCTAACGTAAGCTCTTCTGAGCTATGCAGGTCGGTCACGCGCGTCGTGAAAACGAAAGCCTCCACTCAATAGCGCGGGGCTTTGTAAGTCGTCAATCTTACCCTGTTCTCTAGCAGGTCAAGACTTAAGCCTACCCCCACCGTGTTTATTAGCCGTTCATCGTTTTGATAGCCTGAAGTTAAGTCGCTTTTAACCTACGTCCCCAACGTTGATTAGCCTGGAGAATTTTGTTAATAATAATAATAAAACTTGCTTAAAAACACAGTTTCTTTATAATATGTATTGTAAACGTACATAATATATTATTACAAATATAACAATATAGACAAATTTGTATACACTTTTCGTAAATATATATTTTTAACATATGTCATTAAAACATCGAGGATCATGATCCAACGCGAAATTTAAAAAGCAATGATCTAATTTAGTTATAAAATGGCAAATATATGGATGGCGTTTGTGTTCATAATTAACTGTTCCTACTTCAATATTTTACTTTTGTTCAGTCAGAGAATTTGGTATAAGAAATATGTAGATATCATGGACGTTGAACTGTAAAAGTACTGTTTAATGGCACGGCTGAAGTAATTCCATTCAGGAATGTAAGTACATAACTTTATGAGTGTAATTCTTGAACGCAACACTTTTGTGCTTTATTTACCATAGGATCGTCACATAAGCAAATGGCTTCATCTGGCGATCCTACTGTGTATATATCACCGTTTCAAATGTACCTATAAAACCTTTTTCTTTGTTGTTTGTTACTAAGTAGTTGTATAGGCACTTTGTAGTATCAATATGAAAATATCGGGCTATTTAAGGTCACTTACAAAGTAAAGAACAAGTTAAGGGCGTTTTAGGGGTCAGACGCTAATAATCATTTGTAGGCCTTTGATAAATAAAAATTGTTAAAAACTTACAAAAATGATTATTATTATCCTGCATAATGTATAACAAAATCATTAAAGTGAAACATTTGGAATTGATTGATAAAATTGGAGGAAAAAGAATTTATGTTTCCGTGGGACCGGGAAAATGTATCATTAACGTCATGGTAGATTTGCCCCTGACAAAGTCTTATCGATCTATATGTTTACCCTGAGCATACACCTTATGCATGTATTACCAAAATTATCCAATTACAACCAAACTAACCCCTAAGTTCCAAGCTGGATTGTACTTAATTGTTTCAAAAGAAAGCGGCCTTGTGGATCTGAAAATACAACATGCTTACCTACCACAAAGATGACACTATCCCTAGCTTTATGTTATATAGTCAACAACATTTTAGGTTACACTTAACCACTCCGAAAGTATCAATCACAAACTATGACTGGATAATTTCGGTATATACTATTAACTGTGCGATTCAAACAGGCATGCAAAACACTACTTAAGATGTATATGGATAACACGTCTTTATCTAACAGAATTAGCGTTTTTCATTAAATTTTACAGTCTCATCATAAGTTGGTGGAGCTAAAAAATACATTCAATCGCAAATATAAAGGAATTTGGCGCTTACCTGTTGAGTCAATTGGTGCACCCGGAGGGTACGGTGCCGAAGCCGGCATCGGATATGGTGCTGCCCCGACAGGTGGATATGGTGCTGCCCCGACAGGTGGATATGGCGCTGCCCCGACAGGTGGATATGGCGCTCCAGGTGTTGGTGCAAATGGGGCACCAGCAGGAGGCACATAGGGAGCGCCGTTGGAGGGCCCTTCCATATTATTGGTAGGATAAGGTGGAGCGAGAGGAGCTTTTTCAGGGGGATAATTAATGTTATCGTATGATAGGAGAGGTGTCAAATCACCGGGAGGAGCGGTTGCTCCACCAACTACTGGGCCAGGAGGGTAGGGTCCAACTGAACTCGGAACCTGATTGTATGTGGGCAGTGGGAGTTGTTCCGGCGGAGGACCCATAGGAACACCAGATAAAGGTACTCCAGCTAATGGCACTGAGCCAATCGTAATTGGGATTTCGATAGTTAAATTCGAGTGAGGACATGGCAACACTGCTTTCGCCTAAATAAAATATTTATCATTACTTTCATCATGCACAATTACTAAGGGCTTATTTATCTGTTAAAAGCACCATTTGGTTGATGGAAATGTTACTATTGAGTAAAGTTGAAGCAGTCAGAAAGAGGTTCTGGGTCGTGGATTCGAATCCCATGCAAGACAGTGTTAATTACCTATGTTTGTATAATGAGTTATTAGACTAATTGCGAATTAAATGTGGGAAAATGGGACCTAAGTGGCAAAGAATACCTTTGTTCGATATAAACTTACTTTCAATTCGTACGTTGCATTCATTATACTACACGGTATTAAATTAGGGTACACCATATTGGATGGTATCTTAAGTTTAGAAGTCCAAGAATGTTCACCGTGGGCCCCAATACCACCTTCAACAACTTCAGCTACAAGAACTTCCTCAAATCGATGACGGGTCGATGGGTAATGGGAAATAAATTCGACATGCTATAATACAACGTATCCATGAAACGATACAAACTCAAAGTACTTACTCTATAAATCTTGAACACTACATTTTCCACACTAACATTTGAGAGATTCATAACGCAAGCTCCGACATTAACATCTTGATCAGGGCAATATCCTGTAGCCGGAATGGAGACCTGCAACGTCAATGGGCCAGATCTGCACCAGCAACAGCATAAATGCTTATCATCGCTGAACGCTTTCGGTTCCTAAATTTAACAACCTGTCAGTTTTACTTTAGATATCGTGTACTTACCCGTAAACCAGGTAAATAGTTCAGATCCAAAGGAGAAACAATATTTAATCCGATTTTTGATTCATAATCGAATTTCCACGGACGATCAATGGTGCCTTTAATGCTATACCGAATATTGCCATGAACACCCTCGAAACTCGATGGTAATTGTGCAGGTAGGATGTAAGAAAACGGATACGAATGCCTACCAGGTGGTAAAACAAAGTTTTCTCCACCTAAAATTACATCGATTACAAAGTCCAATGGTCCAAGATTGTACCTTGTAGCAATATGTATTCGGCATCAAAGTAAACCTCTTCCCCACTATACCGGACACGGCGTGTTCTGTGTTTTTTGGAAGAATGATCGTAGTAACTTTCAGATTCGTACCATTCCGTCTCCGCCCTGCCTTTAAATTTTATTTTAACAGCCCTTAGATTCTTTTCTTTATTAAATGAGCACTCGACTCGACCGGCAATTGTTTGTCCAGGAAAGCAGGCGCCTCCATAATTATCCAGAAACACTTCAATAGACATTGCGGCACAGAAATTCCTGCTATAACCTCAACAAAAATTGGACTAGATAAACCAACCAAACTTTATCAGCGGGATTCGAGAAACGGAACCATTGATTACAAAACTATTAATTATAATACTGTACACTTTTTTGAAGATTAGGAATTAATTACTCATAAATTAATAAACAAATTATTGTGGTGATCAGTGTTGCCACAGCTGCCAGATATCATTTCGCATCTGAAACTAAACGTGACTCCCACCAAAAGCGCATGCGTTGCTGTGATGAAAGCCTTTGAACAAGTTTTTAATAATAAATAAATACTTAAATAAATGATTTTTTTTGAAACAGGGAAGGAAGAGTCTCCTTTTATGTGCACTTAAATTAAATAGTGTGGTTTGTGGAACCTGTAAACCATCTCAAACAAGGAAACAAAAAGGACTATACCTAGGGCCTCGCCTAGGGCGGTTTGTTGATCCTGTAAATAACAAATATGTTTTGATTTCTACAATAATAGACGAATTACTATGTAACAATGAAATTTTACAAAGAATTTATAATTTCTGAGAATTTGTGAGAAGCTATACGCTTTAATGTGTTCTTATTTGTTGATCCTGTCAAACGAAGAACCAAAAAGTTGGTAAAAGATTGTATTTCTTTTACTTAGGCCCCACCTAGAAAAATATTTACCGCACCTGCTTATACGGGCGTGCTGGTAATGACAAACTGACTTTACTTAATGTTACTGTTTTAATTTTTTATTCAATGCTGTTACTTAATACTCCAAGTAAAAGCACGGTGTAATAAAAAAAAGTAAAAGTAATATATTTGTTACTGAATACTGGTTACTTTCAGTACATTTATGAAGTATTTAGTACTCTTTGCCATTGGTGACACAGCTACCTATAATTCCGTAGGTCCGGCTGGGTTATACCAAGAGTGGTTATAGTAAAGCCTCACCTTCTTTAGAGAGGAAAAACCATCACTGAGCCCCCCCCCCCCCACCCCCGGGTGATTAGGTTAGCCTGGTCCTACCCTTGCCCAGTAATTCTGACCGCCACCAGGTCGTCAGGTTCCCCGGGACCCAGATGGCAGCCTTCCGGAGCTTAGAAAGGCAGTCCTCTTGTACTACCAGGTGGTATTTGGTGGAAGCTCCACACGCATTTTGGAGCTGCGTTACACAGTTCCCCATTTCCCGAATAACAACAAAAAAAGGCACATGGAGGCAGCACGTACAATGGCGCTAAATATGCGAAGTGCGCGGATACATTCGCTCACCCTCGCCTACAAATCCAGAAGGGTTTTAGACAAGAAAGGGAACCACCGACCATCCACGCAAAAATGACCATCATTTACAATTACAGAATGAAACGAAAGGAAATGGTGTGTTTGGTGGGGCGATTGTGACCAAGAGACCTTTATTATCTCCAAAGTAACATAATTTGTGGTGAACGGCGTAACCAAAGTAAAACATTATACCATTGACTATGGGGGGGTATTAGTCAATGATTATACTTTAAAAGTGCACGTGGTGACCGATGGACGTCGTGTCCTAGACTCTATTAATAAAGCTTCCGCTAATTAACAATAACGAGATAAGGATACGCTAGCGGCTATTATAGTGGATAAGGATATCGCGCTTGAGGAAATCCATGATAGTGTTCGAAATGTTCGTTGAAGATCGTGAAGTTTCGCGAAAATTTAGTTTTTATACAAATAAGCAAAAGCCATCCCGGCTACGTCATCGAATTAAGAAAGTTCCCCTTTGACCGTCCAATATGGTTATTCGTGGCATAGAAAAATCTCGGCTAAACGTTATTGCAAACTTTGTAAATGTGTAGTGGTACGTATAATAAAAAATTTGTTATAAACAGTCGATGGATCGGAACAATTTACGGTCCATCGATCTAGTGCCGTTAGTTGACCCGCCATGGTAGAAACACACGCCTATTTGTCACTGTCAAATTAACTTCTGTCATGTGTGTTGGGCTTGGGTGTAATGTAATTCTTAAATGGAAGATGACTACTATCCGCCCGCAAAATAATCTCACTTGTAATTAAATCGCAATACCTTTAAGTAGTAAGTATTATGTTATTTTTAGAGCGCAGTCTTCGTCCGGTTTCTCCAGCACTATGGGGAAGTTGCTGTCGAAAATATTCGGCAACAAGGAGATGAGAATCTTGATGCTAGGATTAGATGCTGCTGGCAAAACTACGATACTTTATAAATTAAAGTTGGGACAGTCCGTAACTACGATACCGACAGTCGGATTTAATGTAGAAACTGTTACTTATAAAAATGTGAAATTTAATGTGTGGGATGTGGGAGGTCAGGATAAAATCCGGCCTTTGTGGCGTCATTATTACACTGGAACTCAAGGTTTAATATTTGTAGTCGATTGTGCGGATCGTGATCGTATAGACGAAGCGAGGCAGGAGTTACATCGAATAATTAATGACAGAGAGATGCGCGATGCGATAATTCTAATATTTGCCAATAAGCAGGATTTACCCGAGGCGATGAAACCGCACGAGATACAGGAGAAATTAGGCCTTACGCGTATTCGTGATCGTAACTGGTATGTACAACCTGCATGTGCGACTACCGGGGACGGGCTTTATGAAGGTCTTACGTGGCTTACTAGTAATCATAAGTTATAGCATCCACGCAGTTTCTCATTTTAGTACATAACGCATACGAACGCTATTGTAAAATTACTGTAAGGATATATTTTGTAAATAAATTGATCGTACTATTTAATTTGAATGAATTTGAATTGTTTTCCGTGTAAAATATTGTTGCCACACATGTGCCACCAAATAACGGCAATATAACTTGAAATCATGTAGTAATTGTATATTCACACTTTTATGTAGGAGCCAGCGATATTGTTTGTCAGTAGGAAATATAGCAAATTATTTTAATTGTAGGAAATCCTTAAAGCAGGTATTTATTGTTTGTTTTTTTTATTTGTTTTTTATATAATATAAAATGTTAAATTGGATACACTTTTTGTTATTTTTTAGTACGCTTACCGCAAAATACCTTTAGATATTTGCAAGTGTCTTCGATAATGAAAGCATTTTGACTGTGCAATAAACTCTAATTCGTTAATATTAAATTACAGGGCGTTGTGGAGAAATTCATTCTTTATGTATCGAGGGAAATTTTAAGAGTTCGTATGAAATTAATACAACTGTTAGTTTGTTAAAATTTGTCGCATTTTAATATAAATCATTTATAGGAAATGTTTTTCATGTGATAATTTAATGTGATATCCACATTCCAATTTAAGTAAACGAACTTTTTACAGTTTAGAATAAGTAATGTAATATTTACATTTCCTCCAGTGTCTGTAATGTGACTAAATATTTTGTTATTTTTTATGTACTGCCATAACTAATCGTATCAAAATGTTCTGTATGCTTGTTTTCATTGATTACATTACTAACTGAAAGACATTTAACGTTACTGTAAGCTAGTGCCCTGTATCAAAATCATCCAATTGTTTTTCTATTCGCTCTGTTCGAACGTCCCTGTATTGAGTAGGATCAACTTGTCGCCTAATTCTATATTGCTGTATATATTTTTTACTTGATCACTAGTAATAATGTAGAATTGCATTTGCAATTGATCCTAGTTTGAAAAACATCTCAAAGAAGCCTTATATAAATGGCAGAAACAATTTGCTTTAATTGAATTAAGAAACATTTGTCAGAAACTTGCCCTTTTTTTTATTTTGCTTACTCAAGCGATAGTGGAAGAATTGTCCTCGCTCCTTTAGCATACATTTAGAATTAATTTTGTTGCCTACATTTATAACTTGAAGATTTTCTTCAGCAAATTGGTCTACATTTTCAAACATGAAACCAATAAAATATTTTATGTTAATATCTTAGTTTGCTTATATAAATCTATAGGTAAAAATGATTGCCAAAACAATATGAATATATTTTTTAATATCGCTACCGCATTATATTTTAGCACACCTGTTTACGGTATAATAAGCAGGCTAGGATTTACCTTGTAATCGACACAACTTAAAAACAAGATAAAATGTCTTAAAATTATAAAGCATGCATCGGCACAAATTTTGTGAATCTCCCAAAAACTGCATTAGTTACAATTTTGGCATATATATAAACGAAAACAAGATCGTTCTCTTACTAAATAATATTTGAAGCTTTATAGTTTAAATGAGCTCAAAGTGAACTACAACTGTTAAATTCTCCATTGTTTCTTTTACTGTTCACATCACATGTAGTTATTATGCCCATGTTCGTTGTACCGGAAGTGGACACCACTTTTTTTACATTCAGTGGAACATCATGATATGCTTTTTGTAACGATTTTGGATATTGCGAGTGGAGGGTGAACTTATTGAGGACACCTCCAGAGTAAATGGATGTAATCTTGGCTATGATTCCTCATTCAAATGACTGCAGGACACTCATCTTGCATGTTATGTTTTGTCCAAGTACAGGTTTTTCTTGGGTAACTGTACAAAATCGCGCGAGATGCCTGTGGTGCCCTCTCGCGTGGCGGCAATCTGACCTTGTGTTTTGGCCTTTAACCCACAGGAGGTCAAGGGAGTTGCTGGATAATACCTACTTGTTCTAGTAAATCATAGTAATATTCAAGCACCAGTCTAGAGATGATTTTGCAGTGATGGTCGAAAAGCCATCAGAGCTGGGACAAATCCACCAAAAAAAAGGGTTGGAATCTCGTCTATAACTTTTGATTGAGAAGTCTGACCTGAAAAAGTGTTTTCCCGAGAAATTTTGGTGTAGTCGATTTTTGGTAAGAAAGGAAGGTTACTTATACACTGCCTTTTTTTTGATCCCGAAAAAAAATTATCTCAGATCGACCCGGAAAAAAAATTTTCTTATAGAATGTGGCCTGTAGAATCCATAATTTCAAACAGTTCCAAGATTGGGCTACTAGTTCAAAAGTTACAGCCCTTTGAATTTTTTTTCGAAATTAGTTTCTAGTCTATAACTTTTGATTGAGAAGTCTAATCGAAAAAGTACGAATTGTTTTGGATTCTACGCACCAAAATTAATAAGAAAAAGGGTTTTCCCGAGAAATTTTGGTGTAGTCGATTTTTGGTAAAAAAGGAAGGTTATACACTGCCTTTTTTTGAGCCCCGAAAAAAATTGTCTCAGATCGACCCGGAAAAAAATTTTCTTATAGAATGTGGCCTGTAGAATCCATAATTTCAAACAGTTCCAAGATTGGGCTACTAGTTCAAAAGTTACAGCCCTTTGATTTTTTTTTCGAAATTGGTTTCTAGTCTATAACTTTTGATTGAGAAGTCTAATCGAAAAAGTACGAATTGTTTTGGATTCTACGCACCAAAATTAATAAGAAAAAATGTTTTCCCGAGAAATTTTGGTGCAGTCGATTTTTGGTAAAAAAGGAAGGTTATACACTGCCTTTTTTTGAGCTCCGAAAAAAAAATTGTCTCAGATCGACCCGGAAAAAATTTTTTCCTATAGAATGTGGCCCGTAGAATCCATAATTTCAAACAGTTCCAAGATTGGGCTACTAGTTCAAAAGTTACAGCCCTTTGAATTTTTTTTCGAAATTGGTTTCTAGTCTACAACTTTTGATTAAGAAGTCTGATCGAAAAAGTACGAATTGATTTGGATTCTACGCACCCAAATTAATAAGAAAAAGTGTTTTCCCGAGAAATTTTGGTGCAGTCAATTTTTGGTAAAAATGGAAGGTTATACACTGCCTTTTTTTGAACCCCGAAATAAAAATTGTCTCAGTTCGACCCGGGAAAAAATTTTTCTTATAGAATGTTGCCTGTAGAATCCATAATTTCAAACAGTTCCAAGATTGGGCTACTAGTTCAAAAGTTACAGCCCTTTGAATTTTTTTTCGAAATTGGTTTCTAGTCTATAACTTTTGATTGAGAAGTTTGATCGAAAAAGTACGAATTGATTTGGATTCTACGCACCCAAATTAATAAGAAAAAGTGTTTTCCCGAGAAATTTTGGTGTAGTCGATTTTTGGTAAAAAGGAAGGTTATAACACTGCCTTTTTTTGAGCCCTGGAAAAAAAAATTGTCTCAGATCGACCCGGAAAAAAATTTTCTTATAGAATGTGGCCTGTAGAATCCATAATTTCAAACAGTTCCAAGATTGGACTACTAGTCCAAAAGTTACAGCCCTTTGAATTTTCTTTCGAAATTGCGTAACTTTTGATTGAGAAGTCTAATCGAAAAAGTACGAATCGTTTTGGATTCTGCGCCCCAAAAGTAATAAGAAAAAGTGTTTTCCCGAGAAATTTTGGTGCAGTCGATTTTTGGTAAGAAAGGAAGGTTGTACACTGCCTTTTTTTGAGCCCCGAAAAAAAAAATTGTCTCAAATCGACCCGGAAAAAAAATTTTCTTATAGAATGTGGCCTGTAGAATCCATAATTTCAAACAGTTCCAAGATTGAGGTACTAGTTCAAAAGTTACAGCCCTTTGAATTTTTTTTCGAAATTGGTTTCTAGTCTATAACCTCGGTTGGAATCATCGATCCGCATCTTTAGTGATGGTGATTGGACTCAAATCCTTTTTTTGACTTGAAATATAAAATGTAAAAAGGTCTAAATAATTATCTTTATTGAAATTTAATCAAAAACAAATACTTATTTGTTGTTATAGACCTTCCTGCAAAACCAATTCCTGCTTGGAGGGCGCTTCAAGAAACAACCGGTTCGCCTTGCCAGGTCGACCTGGCACCACGCTCCACCTGCTAGAAGACCCGCAAACGCGCTCCGACGGCAGCACTCGCCGCGTGCACTTCGGCTATACCATTTTGTACATATTGCAATCCATAAAACGCAACAGCATTTTATTTAGCGTTGCCGGCTAAATAATTTACACGCCATAAGAAAATAAGAACGAGAACCACGTTCGCGGTTTCAGCTAACTAATTGACGATCGACACGGAAGCCGTTTCTAAGATGCTGAATGGTTCCCAGGGTCCTCCGACGAGCAGTAAAACATCTGTTTCGGAAGAACTACCCCAACGGCCCTGATGGTCATGGTAGTTTCCTCTTAACTCCGATACGCGAATGCTGGTATCGTTGACGGTTCAGCGTTCAAAAAATGTTCGTACAAGGCTTACTTGCCGGTCCAAAAAACTAATCTTCTCGTTGCCATCCACAGCAGTGTGCGACGGCACCAAAAACTTTTGCCGCCTACTCGTTAAAGACGCTAAATCCAACACTCGATTCTGAATGGATACAGGAGCCGACGTGTCCGTCTTTCCAGTCCTCAGTTCGCGACGTCGCCAAAGCTCGGACAAGTATAAACTTTTTGCTGCCAATGGGATGACCATACGGTACCAAGTTGCTGTCCCCAGACCTAGGCATTCGCAGAAACTTCGTGTGGCAGTTCATTCTGTGTGCAGACGTTCACCAGCCCATCATCGGTTCCGACTTCCTTCGCCGATTTAATCTGCTGGGGGACGTAAAAGGAAGAAGCCTGATAGACGGTGAAACAGGAGTGCAAGTGCATTCGCATCCTCGAGTTCTGTGTGTTCAATTGGATCGGTTCAACGTGCTCAGTGATAAAGTAACGCAATTACGCACCAGATCACAACATCCGGTCCACCTGTATTCTCAAAGCCCCACCGAACATAGACTTACCACCGCTCGAGCTGAATTCGCCATCATAATAGAATTAGGAATCTGCCGACCTTCTGAATCCCCCTGGGCGAGCCCGCTTCATTTCGTTCCCAAGAAGTACGGTCCTTGGAGGCCATGTGGAGATTATCGTCAGCTTAACGCCGCAACTATTCCAGATCGTTACCCACTACCCCATTGGCAGTACGTCGTAGATTCTGGATAAATGCACCAGCACCTTTTCAAAACTCGAACTCGTGCGTGCGTTCCATCAAATACCAGTCGAGCCGTCGAGCATTGAGAAGACCGCCATTACAACCTCTTCCGGAATATTCCAGTTTCCGGTGATCTCAGGAATGCGGCGCAAACTTTCCAACGTTCAATCAACCAAGTTCTCAAGGATCTATACCTTACACGATTGCGTACCTTGACAATGTCTTGATCGCACCACCAACCGAAGCCATCGCATAACGGTGCATCTCGAAACAGTGTTGCAACGATTTCAACAATAAGGAATCGCCAAATGAGAATTTCATGGAGTGTCATAATCGCTCACATATTCCTTATTGTAATGCACATATCTCGCGAAAGAAACATCCCCATAGCGGCATGTGTCTCTAACAGGAAACAAAATTTCACAGCCGCGCGTTGCTCTCAACAATTTGCCATGCCTTTTCGGCAAAATCGAATTTACTAAAACGGGGGACCTGATGCACCACAACGACGCACACTGCCTCTAACGGACACCTCTGGTTGAACAATAGGCTCCCTCCTCCTGCAGCCCAATTCCCGTTTTTGTTCACATTGTGTTCGTTCGGTGGTGATATCGATATTCATTGCCTTGGTTCCTGAATTGCACGATTTTAATGGGAATCCTTCTGACTACAAAGTCTGCCGATGCCAAATATGAATGCCCTAACTATCGACACCAGTCTGGTGCTAACTTCCCGGACCATAAATATTGGCCACTGATCTTTATTAGCAAGATAGACGACGTCATTGGCGCCCATTGTTGTAAAACTCATGAACCATCGGTAGCTATTATTGTTGCGACCAAAGGGCCGTTTTGTGATCAGTGTTGGTTGGGCACTAATGGTTCATGCTGACGGGCGGAGGGACAGAAATAGAAAACTACTCTTCATAAATAGGCTAGCTAAGAATGCAATAAAGGTTTCAATTTCACGGGACTGATATGCTCAATAGACAGCTGCGTGACTTCTTAATTACGCTTAAGATGAAAAAGAGGCCTAAGGACTCACTTTGAATTTTACCAGGTAATTCTAAAACCTCTCAACCTCATCCTTGCGACATAAAGATAATCGCCTGGAGCAGTTAGTAGTACTTATACGGATAATTGTAAAGGTCAGAAGAATTTTGCATTAATTCTTATCTACCTATTTACCCTCAATGCTAGTACGTACAGGTAGTCGAAAAGTTCTTCTTTAGGCAAATTACGGTAATTTGGTGTTCTACATGATGCGTAAAGGGCCTTTGAAGAATTTGTTTAGCTTAGGTAATCGGGGAATGCGATGCGGTGCGTGTAGTAGGTGCGTATTAATAATAATAAATAAGTGGAGTTTTAAGATTTAATTTACTTTAGAGAGGGGTTGTTTCGTTTAGAATGAGCATGGATTGGCTCTATAGTGACAAAGAAAAACGTAAGTAATGTAATTTGGAGAATTTACATTCTAAACAACAACGTGTGTGGTCTCGCTTCGTAGTATTCCGATTTGGGTTTCGTCTTCTCGAGCTGAATCGCAGTTGAAACACCGACCGATGGTGGAAGTTTCGTTCAGTTATTCAGTATACAAATACCATCACAAGTTGGAACGTGTTTGTATTCTTGATGTGTCAAACAGAACGTAATATTCTACAATGTTAGGAACATTTAAAGAGATTCTTTAATAGTAAGTTTTCGTTTTGTAATATGTGAATGAATTTCCGGCAATGCGGAAGTGGAAATCGGTCGGTGTTGTACTTTATCGTAGTTTTTTCAACCCCGGTTAGTAGAGCATCGATGTTATTTTGTTTTTATGTACTTTGACGTAAAAAAAGGCGCGCGTGTGATTGTGTTAAGTTTTGTCGGAAAGTGTGGTGGCGCAAAAGAGCGCCAATGTACGCCGAGGGTGAAACGGACTGCATCTGCAGGACCCTTAGTCACCGCGAGGATGTCCAACACGTCTGACTCGCAGACTGACCCAGAAAGACATCGTTCCGATCTTTACACGCGACCCGGTTGGGTCGACGCTACCGTCGCCTTAAGTCAGTTAGATCAGGTAAGTTATCACCCTATCCACGTGTGGTCGCCCTTGATAATTCATATCGTTTGTGAATCAGGTGTGATAGATCATTTGGAGCCAGACCTGGTCTCGGTGTGGAAGGCGATGTGCCTTGTAAAGACCACCCGGAGAGCAACGTGTGTGGTCCGTAGCTAGGCTTTACCTGATCCCCGCGCGGCCTCGTCGACCCTATTCGTGCTTACCAAAACCATCCACCCGTTTGTTATTTTTGATTTCCGGAATTTTCTCATGCTCCATTCTCTTTACCCAACTATCATCAACTGCATCTCCTCTCATTAAACATTTACAAGGACATTTCTCATTTACGTTTATTATGCCGAGCGTTTCCAATCAATCCTGAAATATTATACATTAATTCGATGTTCTTCATAAACGCGATGGAATTACGCTACTTTCAGATAATTACTTTATTATCATCACATTTAAAAGACAGGACCGTGCTCACTCCCATTTCGCTCCACTTTCTATCATGTTCGCAAGTACTCCGTCTTCAATCGATCGACCATTTTTCGTTGAAGGTGGTCGAAGGAATTAGTATTACATGCTTAGAAAAACGACAAAGCCCAGGTGCTATTTCGACCGCGCTCTACCAGGAATTAAAGCCGTGGCGCCGTACGTTCCAAAGGACTGCCGGTTACTCTTTTGTAGCCGCAGTTGTGCACTCATTTAGCAAACAATTACGGAAACATAAGTTTACTTTAATTTCTTTTTAATCAAACAGGTGGTCTTCGGCCAATTATCGGAGGTCGATGGGTAGGCCATTAATTTCCCTACCGATTGTGCTAATTCCGTCGTAGGTTTTTTGCCCTTTCTTTTCATCTCCGGTCGACGTTTATGGAGATGAATTTCACGTCGTCGTGGGGGTTCAAGCATTTCCAAGAATTTGCTTACAATTTACAAATAAATTATTTTTCGTTGATTGTTCAATCCACGGCAAAGAATCAATGGGCACGTTGCTTAAACTGAATCGTCTTCAATATTTAATAAATATACACGGCGTTCTTTGAACTACCTTTATTAATACTTACTCCATCAATGTCCATGCTGTGACTCGCGTTATACGAAACGTTTGAAAGCCAGAAATAGGAACTAATGACGATACACAGGGTGTCTTCTCTGAGAAGAACCCTCGATTTTCGAAAAATGCGCACGGGGTGACTTTATAAATAAACTCCCTTCGAAACTCATCCAAAACCAGGCGAGGGGTTGATCACGGTGGGAATTCGGTGTATAAGTTTGGGGAATTCTTTGGGAAGTCTCGGAAATTTCGAGGAATTCTTTGGGAAGTCTTGGGAATTCTCGGGATATCTCGGGAATTCTTTAAGAAATCCCCAGGATTTCTCGAAAAATCTCCCGATGCCTAAGCAATCTTGCCAGGAACTATATGTACGTTGACAATATGCCCACAAAGCGTTGGATAAACATAAACTGTGTTAAGAAGTTTCATATTGTTACTGAAGACGACTATGATTATAACAACGACCAAGAAGATAACACACTAGATTTATCTACTCCAGAAAATTATGAAGCGGTAGTTTTGAACTTGAAAAAAGTCGACGCGGGCGGCATTCATGAACTTAATTAGGTGTTTCGTGGTTTTCGACATAAAAAAAATGTAACGTCGAAAACAGTCCAATCCAAGATGAATTTTTAGACATGCCGTACGAAAATTTATCCACGAGGTCGATATTTAGGGAATCCGTGGACGTGAACTCGAATATTTTTCGGTTGGGCGCCGCCACCCCGGCGGTGGGGGAGAAGGGAGCAAAAAGCGCGAGGCCGTTTTTTGATTAACTCGCATGTTTGAAAATTCGTAGCGGATGATTTTCGGAGCTATGACGATTGTTCTTTCGGGAAAAATAGGGAAGAGCGTTTCGGTAAAGCGGAAGTACCGAGGAGGTTCGCAGTTAGAAGCCGCCTCCGATGCGCCTGAACATAATATACTCACTAGGAGGCGGGGGACGTGGAGGGAACAAGAGGGCGCGGGGGACGGCTATCCTACGTGGAGCGGGGTGGTCGAAGGATTTTTTCGAAAAAAATATTCGCGGGGAGCTCAACCAATCCGTCGACGGATGTAGAATTTTCGGCCCTTGGGACCGTTAAAAATATCTCTAATGAACCTTCTAGTTTAAATTTGCAAGGCACGACATTGGGCAAGCGAGTTACTTTCGACGCGGCAATACATCAAGGTATAAATCTTTTTAATTCCCCTCCCCTCAGCTCCAGGTATTGAACAAGAAGACAAAAATTGGCAATTATGATTTGTACTGCAAATGTCATTTTTAACATTCCCATTAAAATATGCGAAAAACGACTAAATTTTATCTAAAAATGAAATAATATATAGGGTGTCCCATTTCAAATATAAGCAAGTTGCGAGGCAAGTTGGCATTAACATCCGGCATAACGGGAAGCGCCACCATCTTGATAATATTTCCTTTTAAAGATAAAGACAGACGGCAATCGTTGTAGGATACCCTCTCGAATACCTTGTATGGCTCGCTGTATGGTTATCTTTAGATCGATGAAATAATCTACCTGGAATGACATCGGCAACTCAAAATGCGAATCAAAAAGTTGGACTAGAATTTGGCAACAAAGTAAGTATAATAAAAGCAATGAAATAAGTTTTGTACATGTTTTTGTACTTTTTTGCGATGGCAAAAGTCTGAACAAACGGTGCAATAAAATGGTTCTATTTAATTAAATTGAACGATGTAACAAATATCATTCTTCGTCGGATGATAAACTAGGTGTTGGTATTTAGCAACAATTTTACGATTATGACGCCAAGCGTGTGTGGTTTCAAACGACTTGTGTCCTTAGAACAATGGTGTAGGTATTTTTTCAAAATAATTTGATCTATGATCAGATTTCATTCGAAAATAAGTTTAATCATTTTCATAATTACTGCGAGGCAATGCGTTTTGACGTATTCTCAACGAAATTGGTTTAACTGAAAACCGTCAAAATAATTAATTTCTGTGTTTTTTACATGTTTTCAAGAAATTCGGGGAAGAATGATTTTGACATCGCTAAGATACAATACAACGTAATAGATTTTTTTCATGTTCAATAAGTTATAGGTATCTTAATGAATGACATGATTTTTATTAGTTTTCAACTTCGTTTGAAATGGTATTAAAATTGACGAAACAAGTCCAATGAAATTCAATCTCGTGGCAAGCAATTCCAAGGGTCGTAAAAGCGGAATGAACGTAATAAAAGCATACAACTTGGGGGATATAATTACATTGTAACAAATTATGAAAAATGGTAGCAAGGTTGGATGCTTTCATCTCGTGGTACCTATTGTCGCCTATTTTGTTTTTAGCGCCTATAAATAACGTAAATATGAATATTTCATAAATATACCGCGTTTGAATGCTACGATGATGGAAATACTGAACGTATGAAATAAATGTTTCCGCTTCTTATTTAATAATACCATTAACATGTATAGACACGGTGTGACCATCCTGTTCGCATATTTAATCACTGATGCGTGATCAATAAAATAGCGACAATTGAATTTTATATACCAAATATAACATTAGCATTTATATTTAACCAGGTAATACTAAATGGTACCTTATTAACGTTGTTAACAGGCAGAGGAAGCATAATTATAAATATTATCCATAGCCAATAAAAAATCATTAAAATCGATTATTTACATTCCGACTACGTATAGTTATATACTATTCATAACACCCCGTATAATAATTAATAAAATCAAATCGAACGCCACGTGGGTGGGTATCTGGGGAGTGGGGAGATTAAAACACAATCAATGTGAAATAAATAATTTGACAAGCTATCGATATCTTCATACTTATTGCACATTGCGCCAATCAGTCAGCTGTAAATCATGGGTGTTAAGTACTACATTCAGAAGGGTTACCCAAAGATTTTTACCATAACCAAGGGGCCGAAGGTATGTTCCTTTTTTCATAATTATCGGTAAATTTCGAATTCCTGCTCTAAATTAACAAATTGCAGGCTTTAAAACTGTAGAAAATTATTCTTAAGAGGTGAGTGATACAATAATTCAAAATTGTCAGTTTAGAAAGGGACGGTCACTTAAAAAAATTGCGGGACGACATTCGTCCTGGGTGTAAGGGAGGCAAATTACTATTGTCGCAATTTCCAAGACGGAAAACTTCGTTAATATTCTAAACATTTTCCCTCGCATTTTCCGAAACTATTTGGACTATTCCATCATTTTCGCCACTCAGGCTTTTCCAAAATATGCATCTTGATTTTAATTACTTTGTAAAACATAAAAAGCTCAGGTATTTTTGTATACTTTCGCCTTCGTTACGCACGTGTGCGAGTGGTTAGGTATTTTTAATATTGTTATTGGACACCGTACGCACATATGCGAATTACAAAATCCCTTCCGTGTTATTAAGTAGCGCGAGTATTTCGCATAAATGCCCAGTCTTGAGTCTCCTGTCCGAGTTATGAAGCTGAAACCAAGTGGAGTGGAATTGTATTTTGCAAAATATTGTTATAGAATAATGCACAACTGAGTGATTCTGGTTCGCTAATAATTTTTATTGGTAGCGTAAGCTTGCATGTTTGCTGTTACACTGCGAGGCGCATGTGAGCGAAGCCACCATATGAGTACGTGCGGCGGTAGCTCAAGGAGTGAAAAAAGCGACAATATCATCTGTTGTTTTGTTACAGGGCAAGGCTAACGGAGACCGAGGTATATTGTGGCTGCGAAGTCGACTTCAACTGCAGTTGCGCTCACTTGGTTCTATTGTGGATGTTCACGCTGGCAAGGTGCTCTTCGTCAGCTTATTGATAATTGCCACCTTTTGTGTCGGCATCAAAAGTGCAGCGTTCCACACAAATGTTGAGCAACTGTGGGCAAGTGCAAATACTGAGGAGGTCACCCCAATTGATGTACTGTCCACCCATCAGATGCTTCTGCAAACTGCCTTAGAACCAGACGTTGGCTTACTGCATCCGCATGGCTTGCTAGAACATTTATCAGTTTTGCGGCATGCAACTCAAGTTACTGTAACTATGTTTGACATTACTTGGCATTTGAAAGACATCTGTCAATCTCCCGGTATACCCAACTTTGATGCTCAATACATCGAACAGATGTTCGAGAACATGATGCCATGCTCTATTATCACTCCATTGGATTGTTTCTGGGAGGGCTCAAAGCTGCTGGGTCCCGATTTTCCTGTGAACATACCGTAAGTTGTTATTCTGTTGACAAACATAAATCTAATGGTTTCAAGCAGGTATGGCATAGGGAACAACATCAAATGGACCAACTTAAATCCCAGTCAATTAGTGGCAAATATTAAAGCGCAAGAATCAAACTTCGACTATCATTCGTTGACAGATTATTTTAAAAGATCCGGTATTACGACCGGGTATCAAGAGAAACCATGCTTAAATCCCAAAGATCCGGAATGTCCGGTAACCGCTCCCAATCATAATACTAGTCGTCCGTTAGATGTCGGAGCAGAACTGACCAGCGGTTGCTACGGATTTGCCACAAAATATATGCACTGGCCGGAGGAGCTCATCGTAGGAGGTGTGCAGAAAAATAAAACGGGCCACATCAAACAAGCCAAAGCTTTACAGACTGTCATACAACTAATGGGAGAGCACGATTTTTACGAATTTTGGTCGGAAACGTACAAGGTGCATCACATCGGCTGGAGTCAGGAGAAGGCCTCCTTGATTCTTGGTGCGTGGCAAAAGCGCTTTTCTCAGGTAATACGCTTGAAGTTACGAAGGCGTAGAAGGGCCACATGTAGATATTATATTTTTTACCCAGACTTTAGTTTGGATTAGTCATAGATGGTCCAGAAGGTTTTTTGGCACCGTCCAGAGTTTTTTAGGTTTTTTCAATGACTCTTTTGAAATACATAAGCGGGTTAGAACCTCTGAATTCTTTAAAAACAAAAGTCAAGGTAAAGAAAATCTATATTTGGTCCCCCTAAGCCTTCGTTTGAAGTAAAAGCGTTACAATAATTTTTTTTCAGGAAATCGAGCACTTAACTGAAAAAAATGCGACCTCAAAGGCGTATTTATTTAGCAGTTTCTCTACCTCAACATTAAATCGCATACTAGCCGAACATTCACGATTAGATATCATAAAGTACGCAATTATTTTTTTGATAACTGCTGCTTATGCCTGGATTGTACACTCTCCTTTAGCAGCTTTAGGAGTTTTCATCTTAGCTTCATCGACATCCGCTGGCTTGGGAGTTTGCAGTTTGCTAGGTTTACCGATGAACCTACTTAGTACTCAAGTTCTTCCCTTCGTAACTGTCGGCCTAGCTTTAAGAGAATTATTCATGCTACTGTCAATGCAGTCGCGTAACAACTTAACACCTACCGAACTTCTGCAAAGAATGGGAATGGCCGTTTTCTCGGCAGCTGTATCCAGTTCCGTTACTCTCTTGGTCGCAGCAATAATTCCAGTACCTGCATTACGAGTATTCTGCATGCAATGTGCCATTATAGTACTATTTCATGCGATATCTATGATACTAGTGTTACCTTCATTGTTGGCTTTAGGAGCGCGATGTAAAAAAGCTCAAGTACCGTGCTTTCAGACACAACCGAAAAATGAACCATCAGCAAACAACAACAACAATGATACTGTAAGTATTTGCATTTTATAGATTTATTTAGAACAGTATAAATTTTGGGGTACCTTTTAAATTACAAAGGTCCAAGTGGGAAAGGGAGTAACGAGGGGGAAATCGCAGACGGAATTTTATACACCATACATCCATTTGGTGTGGAAATCCATGGATATCCACCGGATATCTTTGGACATCCTCGGAAATCCTCTGGATATTCTTGGATATCAGTGGATCTCCATGGACATTCTCGGATCTCCATGGACATCTTCGGATCTCCATGGACATCTTCGGATCTCCATGGACATCCTTGGATCTCCATGGATATACGAAGACATCTGATATGTCTTTGGAAATCCGGCGACGTCTTCGAATTTGCTCTAGGGCCTTTAATTACACACCTAGGTGCATTGGAAATCCGGGAATAGCCATTGATGATAGAGAGAAGTTCAGAAATATTCCCTAGAAATCTTAGCATTCGAAATCTGTTGCAATCGTACTAAAATACAAGCTCTACAAAAAAGTCCATCACAGTTTTTTAGCGCATTTTTGCAAATTTATTAGTAAAAAGGTAGCTGCTGGCTGGCTGGATGGCAGCAAATGCGGGCCCATAGAAGAACGCTTGTAGAAAGACGAGGAGTGTACATGCACCTACCGGGGCCGTGTAATTAACAACTTTACATCTGGGTGCCATCCCCTACCCTGCTATATTAACCTGGAGATTTTTGAGTGTTTTCCGATCATTTTGATCAGATTGCTTTCAAATTGGTGTCGTCAGATAGATCTTAAAAACGCGTACAACTCCTGCGTTTTGTGTTTTTTTCCTAGGGGCGAGATTAACTACCTTTTGCAAGGCGCGCGTCTTGGAGGGGTAGTCGACTCCCAAGCCCAAGCTCTAATTGCGGTCTCCCTATTTTGTGGCGGGTTTTTGGCGAAATGAACGGGGCGTCGGAAGTGGGTACCGACAAAGGGAACGTGGTAGCCCGACAAGATCTTACTGATGCTGGAGTCAAAACTTCAAACGTGATGTATATCCTGGTTTTACTATGAACAGTCGTAGTCGATCGATGCTGACCCTTCCATTGGAAGCATCTAACAGCCAACAAAATGATGATTGCGTCTTCATGCAACTGAATTTTTACGTAGGTTCTGTAATTTCGGTAGAAAAGGCCTTTGATTTTGATCAACACACATCCATATTAAATAAAGCGTCATTGCTTTGGTCGTGGTCTGTTCGAAAATGTAAGGATAAGTTAATTGGTCGTCAGAATTCCGCGTCGCCGTTAACAAACCAGAATGACCTTTTTCTTAAGAGATTTCTGTATACGCTTGAATTCAAATTACTCCTTTAATTATAAAGATATCGGGAGATACGGTCTTTAGCATTCCATTTTGAATGTTTACAACCTCAGTACTGATAACTGACTAGAAATTTACTTGTTTGCACATTAATAATAAGTAATGATCGAATTCAGCAATCACTTTTATCGCTAATAAGTAGGTATACATAACATGGAAAACCAGGTGCCAAATTCTTGACAGAACAGCTTCCTAGCTTAAACCAAAAAGGCTGTAAAAGTTTGTAGTTTAGACAAAGAAGAAATGAGGATTGCTATTTGAAAAAAAAGTTTTATGACATCACGGCGCTAAAAACTCAGATAATAAAAAAAACGTGTTTGACATTATGACAAAATTTTTGACGAATTCAAAATAACCCAATAATCGTTTTGCGCAGAGAACAATGCAATATTTTTCTTTCCGTTTTTTTTTGTTATAAAACCTGACACAATTTTTGTAGGTTGTACACAGAAAAATACGATCTTTAGATTAATTTAATACACATGTTGAGTTATGTAATTGAAAAAAAAGTTCGATGACGTTGCGACCCTCCAACATTTTTGTTTCAAAAATCCGTTATTTTTCGTTTCCTTAATATACCTAGGTATCCAAAATTTGACGAAAATTATCTCGGAAAATTGCACGTACGTACGTACCTTTTTGGTGAATTTTATGCATATAGTGGTGAGTTTATGTAAGTTTGTGATTTTTCATAGTTTGTGAATCTTGTTTGTAATTTACCATTTATCCTTAATTTTTTTTCAAATGTTTTATTGAATAATGTTAGTGTACCAAACGCCACAATATTACTTATTAAATAAATATTATTATATTATACATATATACGGAAAAAATGTTATTCTTTAAAGTTGCATAAAATGATCTAAACGTTGACATTTGATGAAATTTTGAAAACGGTTATCGTGATAGCTACCAAGCTGAAGCTAGGAAGTTAAAAATTGTTGTATTGTAATTATCTCATCTGTTTTCTCCCCTACGAAACAGTTCAAATCACAACACTAACAAAAGCAAAAGAGTCATTTCTCCTTTCATGCGCGCATATCATTAACTTGTACATAAGTTTATACATGTCACTTATACTTGAATATTGACGAGGATATCCTCCAAAGTTTGAAGATATCCTCGAATATCTGCGGATATCCACCGGATCTCCTCGGACATCCGCGGACATCTTTGAATATTCACCGGATCTCCTCAGACATCCACGGATATCTTTGGATATCCACGGACATCCTCGGATATCCTGCGGACATCTACCACTGTGTACACTGGATATCCACTGCGATTTCCCCCTCGGGGAGTAATGAGACTAATTCATAGTTAAATATAAAGATTTGGGACCTCTCCCTGTGTAAATTCTGTTAGTGTTGGTTGGGGTTATTCAGTAACAACCCATGAAACCCGACATCTGAGATCAATCTGGGCGGCGTTTTTCTGTATTCTCGGAATTTGGAAAAATAGGGCTCTAAAATGTTGCTTGTTAGTATTACTCAAATATGACAAGTATTTTTGTATGAACACGCTGAAATGTTATTTATTTTTACAGGAGCAGGCCACTAGTTTAATGACAGCGGAAAAAATTTGTCGCCAGAAGAAGAGCTTACTCGCATGGCTACTACATCAATACATCGAGTCAGTTCTGCTGAAACCCTTCATGAAAGTGACTTTAAGTCTTACGTACGTAGTGCTGATAATTTTTTGTGTATTTAACGGACTAAAACTGGAGTACGACGTTCGGCTGTCCTCGTTTTTGCCCAAAAACACTCAAGAATACAAGTATTTGGACGCGCAGAATCGTTTCCTCGGCTTTTACAACTTTTACCTGGTGACCACCGAGTTAGAGTATCCTCTAAATCAACCTCTTCTCTACGAATACCACTCCTCTCTAACGCAAGTGCCACACGTCCTCAAGGATTCGAACGGTGGACTGAGTATGAACGATTTTTGGTTGGAAAACTTCAGGGATTATCTGATGGATCTGCAGCAAGAGTTTGATTTAAATAGAAGCAAAAATTGTGTCAGTAGTGAGAAATGGTTCGGAAATGCTACCGAGAAGGCGGTTCTTGCGTTTAAATTGCTCGCACAGACTGGAATAGTCGAGTTTCCTGTCGATAAAAGCCAGATTTTTAAGAAAACGCTAGTTAAAAATGGAATAATTGATCCGAAAGCGTTTTATAATTATTTGTCGGTATGGAACTGCAACGACCAAATGTCTTATTCTAATTCTCAATCCAATTTAACGCCCAAACCGTTTCAGTATTACAGTTCGAAAAATGAATTTGATTTGAAGATACGTAAATCCTTACCACTTGTATATACCCAAATGCCCTTCTACCTCAAAAACCTACGAAATACGGGGCAAATCGTTCAGACTCTGAAACAAATTAGAGAAATTTCCGAATCGTTCAGAGTCCGAGGCCTGAAAAATTATCCGATTGGGCTGATATTCTCGTTTTTTAACCAATTTTTATATCTGGATAGCATGCTCGCTTTACAGTTAGGTATAACAATATTTGTGAGTTTCTTGATCGCCTGCGTAATGATACGATGGACTAAATTGTGGTGCACCTTCCTTAGTTTATTTATTAACTTGTTGCTCATGTGTCTAATGAATATCAATGCATTTACTGGAACATTGGGTGCATTTCACTTCATCATAATTACGCGAAATGTGATGTTAATTGCAACAGGATTCCTGAGCGCTATTGGAACACGGGAAAATCGTTTAAGGATGTCATTGGAGTTAAATATGGAGCCAATATTGAAGGGAGATGTCGGTTTGCTAATTTGCGCAACAGTATTAGTCACGTCACATTTTGAATTTATTCAATTTCATATGTTTACCATGCTATTAATATCAGTATGTGGATCTACCGCTAATGCGTTGGTATTTTATCCAATTACCTTGCTGTTGGTGGGTCCGAAAGCGGAAGTACAACCTTTAGAGCATACTGATAGGATATCAACACCACCACCACCACCTGCGGCACCCATTCCCCCTTCAAGCTCTTCCCATACGAGACCGAGCTGTCGAAGTACAGCAGCCAAAACCACAAGAGAGCCTAGCCTAACAACTATTACAGAAGAGAGCTGCAATCAAAATATTATCATTGAACCGCAGGTGACAGTCGAATACAGCAGTCCGGAGTCCAGCTCTAGTGGACAGTATGCTGCCAAAATTACCGCCACGGCAAATATCAAAGTTGAAGTGGTTGCACCGATGTACAGAAATAAATGTAACAGTTGTAAGCGAACTAAGTGTTCACATCGTAAACAGCAGTGTCAACATTGTTGTAAGGATTCAGATAGTAGTGATAGTAATGTGGAAACCGATACGAATCGAAATAGCTAGCATTGTTACCTGTATTCATTTTAATCCCAACCGTTTTAATATTTATAAACTAATTTGGTGTATTAGCAGTGATGAAAACGTTTGTATTCTGGCACTTAAATAATTAGGTAAATTATTAATTAGTAGAACAAATTCTAACTCCAATTGTTTTGGTAATTTTTGCACTGCACGAATTAAAATTTCGATTTTAAAAACGGTGGTGGTCACTTTACCCAATCCTCATTAAGTTTAGTAAAAATGTACATTAATGTCTATATATTGTTGCAGAATTTGTACAAATTTGCTGTAATTGTGAAATAATTTACAGATTTTGCAATACCAGCACTTTGTACAAACTGCAGTTAAATTAATTTATTTATTACAAAAGACAACCTTGTAAGATAATATACTGAATGTATTGGAAAAATATAATTTATATTATTTTTTAAGTAAACTATTTTTACAATGTTTTCTATTCAATCTTATGATTCACGATGGCAAACCTAAGACTATATCAGAAGAAGATTAAGAGGTGTCGGAGAGAGGCATGGAAGAGTTATCGCAGTTCTATAGAATCTACCTCCTCTGCATCCAGCGGTTAAATAAAATTCTCACAAAAGTTCATATTATAACTGAGCTAGCTCTAGACGAGAGCCCGGAGCCACCACAGCACCATAACTCATCTTGTCAGAGGCAACATGGAGAATGACTGGACAGTTGCCAGTCAGATGGTCGATGTGGCGAGGGTGACCTGGGCGGTGAATCGTTCTCGGCATACAAATCACCAGGATTGGACGGCATAATAGACCAGCCCTCCTGTAATGGGGACTGGGATATCATCCACCTAGTGAGAATACATACAGGCTTTCAGATACATACCTAAACAATGTAGGAAGCTTTGAATATAGATGGAAGATAAAAATTCTCTTTATCCCCAAACCTGGCAAAACTAAAGCGTACCGCCCAATCAGTGTGATGTCTTTCCTTCTTAAGACACTTGAAAGACTGTGCAATAGATATATAAGGAATACAGGGCTAACACGGTTTTCGCTGCATCCTGATCAACACACATACTTTCCAGTAAGATCCACTCTCATAACGGGCAATAACCAGCTCTTAGAGTATACGAAGAATAGTGTAACAAACACTCCTTGTCCATCAACCCGACCAAATCGGAGCTAGTTCCCTTCACAAGAAAAAGAAAGGTGTAAGGGATTGATGCTCATGAAATAAATGTTAGGAAGTAAAACTCTATTATAATACCGCACCATAAAACCGCATTATTTCGGGGATCTTTTTCTTACTCTAGCGCGAAATTATATAACCAACTCCCTGATGAGTTTCCAGTCCCTTTCCCCAAAAACATTCATTTTTAGCCTTATTTTCCAATGAGGTTGCACCCACTGTTTCTGTCTTAGCTCTTCTCTTAACTGCTCCTACAGTTTTCAATAGTAAGTTCTTTTTATATTCGGTAGCTTATAGCTCTGGCAACGCAGCTAAGAATTTATTAATGTGCGCATGCGCCATATCAACTTACTTATATTTTGTTGAAATTTTAACCACAAATGCTTCTTAAAGGCAAACATATCGCATATAGCAAAAATCATGATGGGCGCATGCGCAATGCCAAATTTCTTATTTATATATTTCTTTGAAATTTTAACTATATAGATGCTTCTAAGTTTTAATAAAGGCACATTGTAAACATGAGGTGTGAACAATGCTAACTTTCTTATTTATCGTTATTTTCATTTTAACCAATAAGAGTATAAAGGAAAACAGCGCACATAACTATGGCCTTTTGGAACGTACTCATCAGATTAATACATGGGAAAAGCGCCACTCTCGCCTTAACTTTCTTGTTTTTAACGTGGGTAATAACAACTTAAAAAATGCATTTTGTATTTATTCATGGAAGAACAGGGTCTTTCGGTACAGGCCACATTCTATAAGAAAATTTTTTTTCCAGGTCGATCTGAGACAATTTTTTTTGAGCGCCTCAAAAAAAGGCAGTGTATAACCTTCCTTTTTTACCAAAAATTGATTGCACCAAAATTTCTCGGGAAAAGACTTTTTCTTAATAATTCCGGTGCGTAGAATCCAAAACAATTCGTACTTTTTCGATCAGACTTCTCAATCAAAAGTTATAGACTAGAAACCAATTTCGAAAGAAAATTCAAAGGGCTGTAACTTTTGAACTAGTAGCCCAATCTTGGAACTGTTTGAAATTATGGATTCTACAGGCCACATTCTATAAGAAAATTTTTTTCCGGGTCGATCTAAGACAATTTTTTTTCGGGGCTCAAAAAAAGACAGTGTATAACCTTCCTTCTTTACCAAAAATCGACTGCACCAAAATTTCTCGGGAAAACACTTTTTCTTATTAATTTTGGTGCGTAGAATCCAAAACAATTCGTACTTTTTCGATAAGACTTCTCAATCAAAAGTTATAGACTAGAAACCAATTTCGAAAGAAAATTCAAAGGGCTGTAACTTTTGAACTAGTAGCCCAATCTTGAAACTGTTTGAAATTATGGATTCTACAGGCCACATTCTATAAGAAAATTTTTTTTCCGGGTCGATCTGAGACAATTTTTTTTGAGGGGCTCAAAAAAAAGGCAGTGTATAACCTTCCTTTTTTACCAAAAATCGACTGCACCAAAATTTCTCGGGAAAACACTTTTTCTTATTAATTTTGGTGCGTAGAATCCAAAACAATTCGTACTTTTTCGATCAGGACTTCTCAATCAAAAGTTATAGACTAGAAACCATAATTTCGAAAGAAAATTCAAAGGGCTGTAACTTTTGAACTAGTAGCCCAATCTTGAAACTGTTTGAAATTATGGATTCTACAGGCCACATTCTATAAGAAAATTTGTTTTCCGGGTCGATCTGAAACAATTTTTATTTCGGGGTTCAAAAAAAGACAGTGTATAACCTTCCCTTTTTACCAAAAATCGACTACACCAAAATTTCTCGGGAAAACACTTTACACTTTACTTTTTCGATCAGACTTCTCAATCAAAAGTTATAGACTAGAAACCAATTTCGAAAGAAAATTCAAAGGGCTGTAATCTTGGAACTGTTTGAAAATTTGGATTCTACAGTTCGGAACTGGAGTCCCTTTCCCTTTTTTTAAAATTTATGGTATTTGTAGTTCTGATTTTTTTATGGGGAATGAATTATAATATTATATATATGTAAATTATTTATTCTTCTTATCTAATAATAATTTTCCTCACAGAGTTATAATTGTTGGTATGAAGAATAAATTGAACGTAGACAAAATTTTGTTTTATTTTATTAACATAAATATAATGCAACATCGTACATGAAGTAATAAATTCCTTTGTTTTTATACTTGCGTTGGTAGCGTACAATATAAAAGGATTTTTAAAAACAATTTAAAATGTCAATAAAAAATAAACAAACTCTTTTGCCGTTAAAATAAAAAAATAACATTTTTAAAAGCGTATTTTAAAATTTGCAACAAAAGTTCAATCAACAACAAAAAATTACCTTCAACAACGGGTACTCCTTAACGCTAAGAAATAAAAACATAAACAATGTACCTATTAGATACCATTACACATTTAGAAATTTATCTAAACATTGACAAGTGCTACAGCAAAAGAGTTATTTTGTGTCCTAGTACTGAATTACATAAACATAATACAATTATGTAATAAAATTAAATGCAAAATCACAGTTGAAACGAATAAAATTTAAACTAATATTAAATAATTCTAAGCCGTTGCCTATCGTATTTCAAACTATAATGGTCGAAGGCCAGGTGCCCACACAAAAAACTGGTGGACGGATACTACTCTATGCAACATTAACATGGATAGCCATACTATAAGAAAAATGTATAACATCTAGATATTGTAGACACCTAGCGAGAAGAACCTAATTTTCGTGAGCATTACACTGATGGGAGTCGATCCGATGAAGGAAATTTATTAATTCTAAATTGGTCCAGATAATCATGACGGGGTGGTTTGATTGATGTTTCCTTTTCTGGTAAACGAATTTATAGAAAAACTAATCTATACACTTATTTAATACTGTATTATCCTACACTGCACAATATATAAATATTCGTTATTATTATTCTAGTCATGCAGATTATTTATACATATAACTACATTATAATACACATATCAGTGGTAAAAAATAAATCAAACCGCTAGTATGTTTGTTTCTAGAACTGCACCACTTTTGTTACTATTAAAGCCAAGCTGCAACTAGCACCGTTACTGTTTTAGGCACTACTTGCACCGGGCAAGGAAGGACTGGACTGTCACGCATACGTACACATTAATCTACGCTTTCTTAGTACAAAAAGAAGCAAATAAGATCCGATAAACGTTAAAACGTATCGTTTACACCTTACCACATCCGTGGGTAATTAGTGGGGTTTCTGTAATTAAATAAAAAAAAACACAAATTAAAGCTAATTTTGATTTAAGTGTGATGGACGATAAATGGTGAAACGTCACAATTAAAACGAGAAGAAATAAGAAAAACTGAAACCACAATAAAACATACCCAAAGTCGTCATCGTTAACAAAAAACTAAACGTGAAGCTACTAATTGAGGAGTTCTGAAAGATACAAGAGCCTCTTTTATCATTCTTTTACTTGCTTAACTAAAGAAGATACATAGCACATTAGATTCAATTAATGGCATCCAAATAAAGGGAAGTGAACGTTTAGCTGAGTGTACGTAAGTTTAATTTGAATTAATAATAACATATTGATTCTTTTATTTTATTCAGATTTTGACATGTATTTGTACAATTAAATACATCTATTACTCCATTTGTATGCAAGGATAAAGAATAGAATTTCTTGTCAATTATCTTAAATAGTTGAAATTACACTAATTATAGACAACATCGAATACAGAGAGCACTTAGTATTATTTATTCCTTCATTTTAAATCGATTGTACAATTACTCCGATGGATTTAGTTTCGATTTAAAATTAAAGAAATACATACAATTTCTATTTGGCCCAACACTAGAAAATTGAGTGATCTGCTGTGTGTCCCATATTCACTTGATTACAGTTTTTTTCCGGTTTACCTCTCACATCCCTTTGGTCTTTTGGGTTACTTACTATAACTGGTAAAGACTGTAATCAAGTTGGCTGTAAAGAAAACATGGGTCACTTTAAATACAATTGCGTGGTCACACATATGCATGAAAATAACCTCTTTAGTTAATCAAGTAAATAGTAAGAGTGAATTGGATGGGTATAAAAGTTAAGATACGCTGATGATAGAATAAGATTTGTACTTTGCCTTTTAGCGCATTCGTTTTATTGAAGTTCTATTATGGCTTCTGAGTTACTTTAACGTTCCAATGTCTCCAAAAGGGGAAGAGGTCAACATAAATGTACATTACACGAGGCTAACAATAATTATGCTACAACGATACCAGTGATGATTACAGTGAAAGCGAGTAGAAACTAAACGATATAAATTAAATAAACAAATCAGCTACCGTACGCCAACAATTTAGTTTCTAATCACGGATGAAAAATGCCAATGAACACAGTAACTTTTACAATCACTCATATTCACACCAGGTTTGTGCAAAATTAAGCAACTGTGAACCCAGTTCCCATCGCCTCCATACCTTCAGGAGGCACACTATGATATTCATTCGAGAGAGAACCATTTATCGCTCCATTCGCCATCGCGTAAAGATCCGGGGTATCTTCCGACTTAGTACAAAGTGCTTGCAGGGCTAAATGCAATCGTAAGTAGTTATCGCAAGACACCCAAAGTCCCGGTCGTTTATTATGATACAATTTTGAATACATATAAATATCTGCATGATTTTCGTACGTGAGTTGTTTTTTTAATGTCGTCAGGCAACAGTATGTTGCAGCATCGGAACTACCAAATCTAAAATCATCATTCAATGAGGATTCGACATAAAATTTGACACATTACCTGTCAACGACGACCACCGGCCCATTTTGATATCCCAATTGAGTTTCCTGTACAGCGTTAGGTAGTTGAAATATTTCAGAAATATAGACGCACTGTCGGGGCCAATTGGTCCAATGCACCATACGTACGTGAAGTTCATAATCGTCTTGCAAAGACTGCATCACGAAGTCTCGTGTTACGTACGTCGCCTCTGTTTGTTCGCTCGATAATTTTATTTTATAGTTATCCGAATCTATGCTTTCTTGCTCGGTAGGCCAAAACATTTCGAATTCCTAGCGACAGATAATAATTATGAAACGTTCGCCTCTTCAAATATCTCAAAATTTATTGAAAAAAAAATCTACATTATAACATGAACAGTCACCGGACGCCTCTGTGGAGAGAGGAGGTGTGTACACTAACGGTTCCCAACTGGTGGGTCGCGAAAGAGTTTTTTAGAGAAAAAATACTGCATCTGTTCATACTATTATTGATAATTTTCCGTTTTTCAAAACTATCAGAATTTCCAGTGACAGCAGGGCTGCAGGCACTTGGTCACTGTAAAATATTCGAATGTCACCATGCACTACAGCAAGTAGCTTGAGCTCGCATGGGTCAAAGGGCGTGATGAAACGGAAAGTAATGAGAACTCGAATGAGTTATCCTAACTGACCTCAAAACAAGTGTTTTATGGTCCAGAGCCGGCTCTGTCACTTGCAGTTCCAACTGTAAACAACTTAGTAACTCGAAACACCTAAACTCAGCACTGCGCTACGTAGAACATGATGTTAGAATGTAGCCATGTGAGAGAAACCTTTAGAGAACCATCTCGCAGCTTGGAGAGTTTTTGCACAAGGTTATCAAAAAAAACCCTGAGGCTATTCGTGGGCATACTTCCTGGGCACTGCAAACTAAACAAACACATCAACTCACAACAACTCATCTGGTAGAGGATGTTACACAGTGACGTTGAGGGGTCAGGCGACGACTTTAGGAAGGGAGGTGGTACAAAAAGCCTGAAATTGAGGCCTGTCCACCCTCCTATGGTAATCCAGAATCCATCATCAAAGGCCACGCCAAGTGAGCACTATTAATAATACTAAGTACGCAAAGATAGCAGTCGGTTTCTCGAAAGGTTACAAGCAGACGCCCTCTCGCCAGCCTAAAACGAAACACTTGCAGTAGGAATGCAAGGCTTATTTATTTATTATCCCTCTCTTAGTTTTGGGTCCTCAACAGGCATGCGCCCAATTACAGAGTGACCCGCATAATGCTATTTAGAGGTGCCTCTGCAGAAGGTCTTAAGTTGGTCTATACTACTCCGGTATTAGGAATTAGGAAAACTGCAGGAAAACCTAATTCGGAGTAGCCGGTAGAATACTCGGAACTGGTCTAAGGTAATTTACATCTCCGCCACAGATGAAAAATTCACCTCAACCCAGGTTCGAACCCCCCACCTCCGGATTTATAACCCAACGCTCTTACCACTGAGCCATAAAGCCGGTTGATGATAGATGGCGTGCGCTGATCACTGCAGATTTCTACCTAAATCTAAAAATTGTTGGGGTGGAGTTATTTCGATAAGGAAAAGTGGGTCGCCGGCTGAAAAAAAGTTGGGAACCACTGGTGTACACCAATGCCACGTCAATAAAGACATGTTTAAAAATTTAAAAAAAACATTTTATCTGCGGCACATCACACTAACACGAGCTGTTATAGCCAAAATTTTATTTTTTACAAGAAAAAGGAAAGCTAGTGGCAAACACACTGTGTCGAGTTACAGGACGGTACCCTCTGCCCTTCACCTAAAAAATTTGGTAATTTGAGTAAAGTTGTCAAAAATGATACACGCTGCGCGCTATAGCATAAAGAGCTTTGGATGCGCATGATATATAATAAGATACGCGCAACTGTACGCCACTAAAGTAGAAATTTTAATTGGCAAACTTTCCCGTCAGTTGCCAATGTTGGCCAGCGTGGCGCAGTTGAGTTGAAGTTCGACTGCGGTACTACGGTAGGTTGGGTTGGTAGAGCACTCTTGGCTGAAACCCCGCCCACTTAAAAATAAAGGCCATAAATGAATAAATATTCCGTCTGCGCCGTTATTCGCCATGCTATAGGGCGCGGTTTGTACTTCGGTCGTTTTAAATTATTTTTTATACGCGCAATTGAGATAATCCAAAATACTACACGCAGATTTCCCCGTTGGAGTACGATTTTTGCGGTATAAATGACATCATTTTATCGCACAATATCCTTAACTGCCAAGTAATATAAATAAAACATCTCATGATTTCAGAGAATCCTTTCTTTTTAAATGCATTTAAATTTTAATTATTAGGTTCAATTGATATGTAAAAAAAACTAGGGGGGTAGAGGGTACCAACATAAGCATTTTTTACTAACCATAATACATATGAGAGGATCATTTTTAGGCATGCCCATTTGTTTTCAAACATCTTCCCAAAATTCCTAGCTCATACTGTGGTGGAAAAAGTTTGATCTTCACTAAATTTGGTATGTGGATACCTTTCATCAGTAAAATAACGAATCAAAAATTAATTTTTGAAAATTCGACGGTACCTACTCTCCGTTAGGTGCTCGCCGCCTAATCACGTCTTTCTCATCACAACCTAATGCAATTGAAATGTTTTTCAAATTTTCAAAACCTGACTTTATTTCGTTACTTTCATTTTCATAGAGATCCAGATACCCTAACAAATGTGCGCCATTTTGGGGTAGAAATTTTTTGCAAAATCATTTAAAATCCTCCTGTGTTATGGTTGCTGAGTCAAAAATTAAAGAAGACACACATTTTGGAACTTACCTCATCAATTATACTAAGCATTACAATAGTTTGTGCATTATGATCCCAAACCATTTGCCAAAAGTCTTTAATGGTTTCTTTCATAGGATGCTGCGTTATGATGAATTCTCTAAGACTGTTATAGCCTTGAATCCATGTGGCGTTAATATAATCGGAGCCGTCTTCTCCAGGTTTAGGGGTTAAATGTACTCGAGAGCTTTCCACCGAAACAATTTCACTTCGGTTCTTTGGCTTATTAATCACTTTATTGGCAGATATTACATTAAAATCCTTACATTGAAAACTTGTTACTAACTGAAATGAAAAAATTAGTAAGATTTGGAACAGTGTAGATGGCGCGACCGACTTTAAACTGATACTCTAATGGCTTCCATGGTTCTGTTTTTTCCTCAACATTACTACTTTGCAGAATTTGCACATATTTTGGGATTTGTTCTTTTTTAATATTCGTTTCACCTGATTCAATTGCTTCTAACAGAGCATCGTGAATAAATATATACTGTTCCTCTGTTTGTACTAAAAAGTTTCGTTGACTCCTAATGTGCCGTAAAAATCCAAATATATTTACTTCGCTTCTACTACGAATTTGTTTTAACATTGCATCTAAGACAATGTAAGTGCCTGTTCTCCCTACCCCGGCACTACAAAATTGCCCAATGTTTAGATAATGGCCCAAGTAAATTAAGAAATACCTGCAATGCACAATTATAGGACCTCCGTCCGGCGGATTGGCCGATGCAGATTTCTTCACGAAATGCAAAACGGGCAGAGGGTGATCGGGTGTACCATGATCGGGCCAATTTGTGTAATGATACTGGTACACTAATTTTTCCGCCATAGCTGCTTTCTTCTTTTTGATCTGGAATGTATTATTGTAGCACACGTAGACTAGGCTAATGAATACCCTAAGATGCCGTATTTGCAGCGTCCGCACAGTGTATGTTGCCATTATATCTTCTTTGACTAGTTTAACCTGTATAACACCATATGTTTCTGTACCTTCTTTCGGCCAATACATATCACACTTCCTCTAAAACATGAAGGAATTTGCATGCACTAGCATTCGAAATTTCAAAACGCATATTAAACCAACATTCAATGCGTGTTAGATACAGCCAAATAGAACAAATTAATATGCACAACAATCCTTGTTTTACAAAAAGAAATACCTCGTAACGACCTGTATCGCACTGCACGAACGGAAATGCAACAGTGCCCTAGTAAAGGTGAAACATAATTACAAAACTGAAAAAATAAAAAGATACTTAACTGATAATAATATACTACTAATATATGCCTTTTTTTCTTCATTACATTTGTAAATATTTTGCCAGTTTATTCTTCAAATTGGAGGATGTGGAATTGAAAAGTGACAAAGCCCTACCAAACTGAAAAAACCCGTGGATAAAGTCTTCCGAAATGAGGTATCACATGAACCTTTCTCCACAAAAAAAATTGGCCACTGTCGGTATTTCGGAAATCGGAACTGTCGATTTTATGTTAAGAAGTACTATTCTATACCCACCACTCAAATTTCAAATCAATATCTCAAACCGTTTTCAATTTAGAGGGAGAGAGGTGACTATTTACGTTCGCATTGTATGTAAAAAATAGTTTTTTCTACAAGGTACGAAACAAATATTTTTTGCCAATTGAACGCAGTGCGACATGCCTAGGTGCATTAGATATTTTACTTAGAAAAGATTCGATTGCTGCCAATAAAGCGAAATCCCGACTGCCAGAAGGTGGGTTGGCGGAAGATCAAACGAGTAATTTCCCAAACAAAAAAACGTGCATGGCACAGAATCTAGGATCATGAGAAGAAGCAGTAAAAAAATTTGTCAGAAAAGGGGACGCCAAAAAGTTGTATAGATCAAAGTATGTGCAAAGTGTCAGAAATTAGAGAGTATGACAAAATTGAGTGCAAAGTGCAAGAGCGCATTTTGCCGCACGGCGCAGCATCGGTCGCTTTTTTTTGATTTTCACACCATATATATTTTAGAGCATGGATGACAATTTATCTCATTGGAAGTGGAAAGTTTAGCAAAATTAAAATAAATCAGTTTCTATTACATATAGGAGTTTAAAAAATACGCTTATTTTGCAGTAATTGCAAAAAAAAACATTTCCGTGAAATTCGGGACATTCGGAATATTTATAAAAAAATTAAAACAGTATTCATCAAGATTCAAAATACTAGAAAATAGAAAAAATGAATGAAGAGAAATTAAAAAAATTCGCTGACAAAAAAGGAGAATTTAGGTGATTTGAAAAATTCATAAAGTAACAAGTGATTCTAAATTCTAAAAACTGACAAAATCGTAAAACTCAATTGAAAACTTGGAAAGTTCGAATATGCCTATAATTAAAAAAATTTAAAAAAAACCAATTAAAAGTTCACAATTTCAACGAAATTTGAAAACAAAAATTGAACAAATTTAGATTTGGAAAAATGAAAATCTGATGCACATACAATTTTAAAATAAATAAACACAAATTAAAAATCAGTGCACCCAATAACTAAACAATAATAAAAAAAATCGAATTAAGTTTTAATAAATTCTAAAAATTAAGAAATATTTCAAAAATTGAAAATGACGAAAATTGAAGAATATGGAAAAGAAACAAAGGTACACAAACATAAAACAAATTAAAAAAAATTTACAAAGATCCGAAGAAGGCTTTGAAAACATTCGGAATTAAAATGTCGTTTTTAAAACATTAAAATTATTGATGAAACAAACTTACCGTGAAATTCGATCATAATTATATAAAGTATCCAATCCGAAAATAGGTATCACTTAAGATTATACACCCTGTAGTACACCCAAGTATTGTTGCACATTATGTTTAGAGAATTAGATTTTAATTTCCCGCTACCCGCGTCTATTTTACTCGTCCATTACCCCTCTATACCCATTCTTTGGAGATAAAATGGAGTGGACTGAAATGTAGGAAATGGGTAGAGACAAAGAGGGAGGGTGGGGAGTGATATTTTCGGATTGAAGATTGCATATGATCGAACTTCACTTAAGGTATTTTAATTACCGTCTTGATCCCCTACGAAAATGCTCTTCTCCCTACCCCTGGCTTCTCTTTTCAAATAGTAAGCCGTCATTTCAAATGAATCAAATTTCATAAAATTTTCTCTATTTCGTACTTTATTTGAGAAACTCGAAAAATCGGACCGATGCTGCGCCGCGCCAAAATGCGTTCTCACACTTGAAACCCGATTTTGTCTTCTACTTTAACTTCCGACACTTGACACATACATACTTTGATGCATACGCAAACAGGGTTAATTTAAATTGTCAGAAGTAAATTGTTCGATATTTTCGCAACTTTGGCAGCTTCTGACAACCTTTTTAGTACAGTCAAATTAGATCAAATTTCCACGAACTCCTAGAGCTCGAGCCGCCATCTTGGAAAAAAGGTACTCCAAATCACTTTTTCGCTGATATCTCGGTAATCGTGCATTCTAGCAAGTAAAGTTTCATATAAAAAAAGAAAGATAATACAATTTTGTATAAAAAAGATGGTATGCACTTTTTTTGTATTTTCGATATTTACGTCGATATTCCACATTGAATATAGAGCATACTCTTTTTTCAGATGTAGGTGCATTACTTTCAGCGCTCGCGTGCTTTAAACATGAATATGTTTAAAAAATTGATTTAGTTGACATTTTAGGGCCTGTTGACCAGTGAAGAGAAGGGCAGTTTTATCTAAAATTAAACACTTACGACCTATCGTACTCACTCAACATATGTGTTTTGTATTTCTCGTTAATACAATCACTGTTAATGTATGGAATTGTTGGCTGGGGGTATTTTATGCTATAGTGAATCCTTATACAGCCTTATACAGGGTGGTGCCTAGCACGACGCAGCACAGGGATGTCAATGGTAATTTCTTTATAGTCAATTACTAGCTCCCCTAATTATTTTAGAGCAAAAGTCTAAAGAAGTTTTTGTAGAGAAAAAAATACTGCATCTGTTCATACTATTACCAAAGAGTACCCGGTACCCCTCTTTGCTATTACTTATAATTTTCCGTTTTTCAAAATCGTAGAAATCGACAAAATAAAAAATTACATTTTTATAAATCAGTGATGCTTTGGAATCTTTTAACAAACTACAAGCGCATCGCATCTAAGTTATCGTTGTTTGACGTTCAACGATTTTTATATTTAATTCGGTAATCTTGTACGTACCTACTGCTTGGAATCGGCTAATTGGGTTACTTAACACTAAATACACACGTTACTTGGCGGGCATTATTTCCAGCATAAAACAACTTTAACTTTAACATTTCTCATCAGTTAAATACATGATAAACAATTTTATGATTAACTAATTTATAAACAAGTATAAATTTAATAAACGTCAAAGGCAAATAATGAAACGTGATCGCTGATTTTTTAGGTAATTCCAAGGCATATCTGTTTTATTGAAAAATGAACAGATGCAGTACTTTTTTCTCTAAAAAAACTTCTTTAGACTTTTGCTCTAAAATAATTAGGGGAGTGACTATAAAGAAATTACCATTGACATCCCTGTGCTGCGTTGCGCTAGGCACCACCCTGTATAAGGAATCAAATGTAATGAATTTACGCCAACTTTACTGTAACAAAATCCTCCAGTTCAGAAAAACATCCAAAATTACTGCCCAACATGCACTCTCATTATACACGCCAGGAAGACCATAATAATAAACTTTTTCCAAGGTCTGAAAAACAATCGGTAAACGATGTGCTCAGTACATTGCTCCAAGGCTTTATTCCATTCTACCGCGCGAAATGAAAAAGATATCTACCTATACCGCTTTCACGAAAAAAGTTCAGATGTGGATACTGGAACAGCGCTATGAACTATTTCGCGAATTGTTAATGGAATTGTTTAGTTTAGTTTATTATTTTTAGTATTTCTTTTATGAAATGAAGTCAAGTTTGATTTATATTTTTTTGTAAATGCTCCATATCCATTACAAGTAGTTCAAACGACTTCGGATTTTGGCAATATTTATTTTTCTTAGTTTCCTTATGCAGGTATCTTTTGTATTCGGCTATACAGGGTGACAATTTGAAAACTTACCACCCCCCATATCTTAGTAAATAAACGAGATATTAAAAAAAATCAAAATCCGTTTCGGTAATTCGGAGGGGGAATCACAATGACATAGTTGGCGACGCACCCCCTCACAACCCCTGCGCCCCAGCCACCCCAACTTTTAAATCTTAAATAGTGACCCCCCATGTGTGATACGTCGTTGGAAAGCTCTGAAAAAATGCTTTCCAACCATACCAAACAGCATTACATTGAGGTTAGTAATTATCGTGAAAATCAAAAAATAAACTAATATGATACATTTGAAATCTGTCGTATTTAAAACGCAACCGGCGAACATAGACGAACTAAGACAGAGAATAATAAATTCAAGAATGTCGAAATATTGCAAAACCAACATTGGAAAGGTTCGACAAGAGTTTGAGAATAGATTATAACTGGCGATCAAAAATGAGTTGCTGTCGAGTCGGCTTTGGAAGTTCAAGTTAAATACGATTTTTCCATGTTTATTTTTTGATTTGCACGATAATTACTAACCTAAATGTAATGCTATTTGGTATGGTTGGAAAGCATTTTTTCAGAGCTTTCCAACGACGTATCACACATGGGGGGTCACTATTTAGGATTTAAAAGTTGGGGTCGCTGGGGCGCAGGGGGTGTGAGGGGGTGCGTCGCCAACTATGTCATTGTGATTCCCCCTCTGAATTACCGAAACGGATTTTGATTTTTTTAAATATTTCGTTTATTTACTGAGATATGGGGGGTGGTAAGTTTTCAAATTGTCACCCTGTATAGTATAAAAATAAATATATTATGTATTGTTTCCTTCTCTTAGGTGATCAACAGGCCTTAACAATGTCAGTCAATTTTTTAAACATATGTTTAAAGCACGCGAGCGCTGAAAGTAATGCACCTGCATCTGAAAAAAGATTATGCTCTATATTCAATGTGGAATATGGACGTAAATAACGAAAATACAAAAAAAGTGCGTACCATCTTTTTTATACAAAATTTTATTATCTTTCTTTTTTCATATAAAACTTTACTTGCTAGAATGCACGGTTACCGAGATATCAGCGAAAAAGTGATTTGGAGCACCTTTTTTCCAAGATGGCGGCTCGAGCCATTGGAGTTTTGGTCCCAACTTTTAGTATGTTCGAATACAAGTCCTAATGTACCTCTATACAAATTTTCAGCTTTCTTTCAATTATTTCCGCTATTTTTCCTAATTTGACTGGCCTATTTAGCATTCACCTCTGACAATTTTCTGGGTATCTATGTAAATTTTGAGCCGTGCACAGTGTTTTAGTTGGAAAATTTAATCGTCCGCCAAGGCGCCTTCTTGACGGTTGGGCTTCTGTTTTATTGGCAGCAATTGAATTTTTTCAAGGTAATCTATTTCATGCGCCGAGGCATGTCGCACCCCATGACAGCTCTTAGACTATGAGAGTACAAAATGTTTCATTTTGAAAGCATATCCTCAAAAATCTCAAAAAAAAGAGTCGACATAACAGCTTTTTCGGAACAATCCTTAATTTTTTGTAAGATACCTCGGATGCAAAAAATTTCTGATCTACATTATCGGAGTACGCCATCTTATGGCAAAAAAATTGGGGGGGGGGGGCCTCCCATATATAAAACTGCGATAATTTCTCTCTTTTGTAATATGCATATTATTGCATATATAGCACCCTAACAAGTAAAGAATTGGCAAGACAGCAGACGTACCCTTCCCCTTTCCACGAGATTCGTTATCATGACAATGATAGTGACTCGTTGCTCCCAAACCATTCTCCAGAAACAATCGAACGTCGAAGGTAGAGGACCTTGAGTTCCTATGTACGCCTTTGACCATTGAAAACCGTCTATATAATTCGCATTTATATAATCGATATTTTTCTTCTGGCCTGGCATTTGTAATAACTGGACTCTGCTATGGTCGTCTGAAAATTAAACAATTTAGATCGCGACACATCAGTCATAAACGTAGAAACTTACACGCAATGATGTTTAAATATCTATTCTTAGCACGGTTATCTGTATGCTGAGAATGCTCCGAAGAATACTCATCATGATTGGATTGAATAGCTTCATACTCCTTACTGAAGCCGATGTCCCCATCGGCGTGTAATTCGGCAACATGCTTTCCAAACATATCGACCGGTATTGCACCCTTATAATCGCCAGAGGGATCAGAGGCCACATTCCAATCTAATGATGTACTCGGAACCGAACAAGGTAAATCATCTAAGTAGTAATACGTAGAATGGAAACATTTTCTACAAGTAACAAAAAGGATGTGTAAATCGCTTTACCGGCAGTACAAATATTACCTCCAAATGAAGAAGGCTAGTATTGACAGCAAAAATGCAAATGCGGCGCAACCCACTCCGGCGATCATGCCCGCACTAAGTTCGTTAGTTGTGTGCCTCATGTATTGTTGAATTTTATCACAATTTGATTGTACCAGAACCTCTTTTGGTTCCGATAGTTGTCCTTCAATTAACTTATCAGTATAATGGCTGTAGGAGGCTGCGCTAATTTGTACATGGTATAACATGTCCGTTGTCAGATTTTTTATGGAATACTACAAATAAATCAACTGTTAGTGCATAGGACAAAATATTTATACTACGCATAAACGTCAAATTTAATTGTTTTATTTTTAGACATAATGCTTCTTGACAATTCCGCTAAATCAAAGCCGACTGAAAAATGTTAACAATGGTTGTAGAAATCCCCCTTTTCCACTTTCTTAGAAAATCATTCATTTTAGATATAGGGAAGTATTTACAAACTGCCTTATTTCCCTACGTGCAATTCATTCGTGAGGCGAAAAAGGTGAGTAATAATTAAGTTCTAGAATTGTGAGAATTTTGAAATGATTTGCTGACACTTATTTGCACAACTCATAAAAACAATGAGTTCGCTTTGTTTTAATTACAAAATTGGACACCCTGTATATAAATTACTTAAATGAGATTCAAATATAAGGTTACAGAACTGATAATCGTTTGCCGCAACTCACAAAAGAAATGACCGTTACACCTCAATTCGTCTCGCTTATGCAGGTGCAGTGAAACACCTCAATAAGTCATCTCCTGAAACTGATACCTTTTCTAGGCAAAAATGTTCGAAACTATAACATATAATCCGCCACCTATTATCGTTCTGTTCCGAATTCCATGTGTTTGTTATACTCAGACAAAAACGAAATGTACCCTTTATTAAATTATTCTAATTAGTTCGTGATAGTCGATAATTTTATTATAATACCTCAGGCCTCACGTTGTTGCCCTTTTTTTAAAATCTTGTTTGTGTTTATTACTATATATATTCATTTATTGTGTACAGTACGTACATACATACAGACGGAAAACTGATGAAATTTTGACATGTCATTTACTAATTTTTTTTGCCATTGTACATTAGGTATAAACGATGTAGGACTTTTTTTAATATCTGGTTTGAGCTAGGAAGCTGTTCTGTCAAGAATCTGGCCCCTGGTGTTCTGAATGACAAGCTCTATCAAAAAAATAGAAAAAAAGCCTGTGCATATTTAAAACAAAAGATGATGATAGCCCCAAAAAACCAGAACGTCTGACTAAAAACTTAGTCATGCCAGTCTGTAGAGCATAAAGTTTTTAAAAATAAAGTCATGTGAAAATAAAAAGTAAACAGATTTCAGTTTTCACCTGTTATCTCCGAAGATATTCAGAAATTGATAGTCATATCATCCCTTAAATCTCATCAATAAAATAAAAAAAATCTATAAACATACTTTATTTTTTTAGAAATAATTTCCAAACGAGAGAGGATGAAGGGTGCGTCCTAAGTTTCGCGTCAAAGATGGTTGTTGCAAGTGGTTTTGTATACAGTATTGCCAACATCCCATGAAACATACATGTGTTGCATTTAAAAAAACCAAAAAAATAAATGAAAAAAATTACCACATTTATAGAGCACCCTGTACATACAAAAAATATTTTCGCGTTATGCACAAGCAAACAATTTTGTATTTTGTCCAATATATTTGCGCAGTGGCGATATTGTAACCGATGAAGTATATAAGTAGTAGCCCATTATCATTTTTAGGATAAGTTAATCCATTTTTACAACTTTCGCATTACGTTTGTCTAAACTACGTGTACTAACAACACAAAATTATGCATGCATTTTGTAAAAGATACGTACCGAAGTTTGCAAATGTTCCTTAGAAGTAGGAAGAGTAATATTGTCATACACTAATGCACCGATAGTATAAATATAAATATGATAAAAGTCGATGGTACTTGGAGATTCTAGAGGTCTTTGCCAGTGTAAAAAAATTGTATCCTGTGCTTGGCATGTTAAATTTAAAATTATAGGCGGACTAGGACCACTAATATCAGTCTTATTAATGATGGAATCAGATCGTTCTCCTTCATTTTTCGCCGTAAATGCTTTAACCCATATGTCGTACTCTGTATTCGGCTCTGAAATAAAAGGGTTAGAAATCTAAGTGGGAAATTACGTGAGGTCTTACTTAATTGAGTTAAGTTATATTGTATATTAGAACCTCCTCCATGTATTCGATGAGTTTGCACTCCTGTTAAGTTCGCGTGCATAAAGTAAATTCGATAGCCGTCGATTGGTCCATTGGCACGTAAGGGTTCAGACCAGCTCAAATAGACGCTAGTAGAAGTTACACCGAGAACTGTAATGTTGAGCGGTTTACTGGGTACTGAAACAGAAGGGGATGTTAAAAAACAAACGAGGCATTAACAGTATAGAGATACCTTCCATATCAATAACAGTGTAACCATCAGTAGTGCTCGTATAATGTTGATTTGTTACATGGGCCAATGTGGCCATTAGGACACATACAGCAACATGATCCATTATAAATATACTTTATACACAAAGGGTTTACAGTTAATCAACATTTAATAAGTTCTTTATTAGTATGCACATCCATCTCCAATCCTCGCGTTTCCAACCTGATCACAATCAACACTTTTATTTCCCTTCATAAAAATAATAAACACTCACATTTTATTAATAAACAAATTTTACAATTAACAATTCGGCTGCACCACCCAGACAGCGGTATTAACAGTTGTGTATAACGGAGCAGTATCGGAGATTTGCTTATCGTACCACTGACGGTCTAATAGTGGCAGCTAGAGACCACAGAGAAGTGAAATAAAGGACTGGTCGATGTGAGCACGTGACTATAAATGGCGGCGCTTTTACTCTAATTTCAAACAGCTACTGAATACAATATTAAGAAACGCAAAATTACAGGCATTTTTCTATCAAAATTAACCAATTATCTACTTTTTGAAGAAATATATTAATGAACATAATTTGTTTTGATACACGAAAAATTGTTGACAAAATACGCAAACAAAAGACATACAATTGCCCCCTAGAGGTTAATGTATACCCACTGTGGTTCTAATTTCAACGTCGTCGACAATTTGAAAATTAATACTATTATTTTGTGACAAAAAATGATCGGCCTCGATTTGGTCATACAAATCTCACAATTGGAATCGTTACGAGCCTTTCAAATTTTCGAAAACATCCTTGATATAAGCTGAAAAATAGATGTCACGCAGAGACCAGAATTGCATTTGTCGTATAAAAGATATTTCTTTTGGTACTAGCTGTGTCGACTTGAAACAAACATTAAACAATAGTCAATAAAATCTTTTAAAAAATAATTGAGCATTCATTCGCGTAATAATCAGAGCTTATTATTTAGTAATATTTTTGGAAATTTACAAATCTGTATAAGAACGAACTTGAGTCGAGTGTAATATTTAAAAGTTGTTTAGATTCTACAGGCCAAAATCTATTACAGTTCGTATTTTTGAATACGAACCGATCATCAATTTGGATTTCGTGAGTGTCACTCCACCATTCATCAAGGAAAGAAATACTGTAATGCAGTTTGATAAGATATGGCACAGAGGTCTACTCTTCAAAACTATAAAATGCCTTTCCAGCAACTTTTACCTGATTCTCAAGTCATATTTTAAGAATCTAATATACCTACACGTCTCCGCGAAACCATCACCAATCCAATTTCCTTCCTATTGAATCTGGAGTCCCTTCAGGGTAGTGGCTTGGGGCCACTGCTCTTTCTTATATAGAATGCAGATTTATCAGAAACCAACACTACCAACCTCATTTGCATTTGCTTCAGATAGATTACAACCCCACCTTAACCTGCTCCATGAATGGTACGCTAAGCGGATAACGAAGATTAATCATACCAAGTCCGTCCAACACGTCGCAACATCTGTCCTGCAGTTAACTTAAAATAATATACAAATACCCATTGCATCATAAACCAAATATCTTGGTTCACGTGAAAAAATGCACAAAATCTACGATAGTCGACATTATTCAAAGGTTTGAATCCAAAATGCTAATAACCCTGGTAAATGCCCCCTGGTACGTCAGCAACCCCAAAATTCACGCTAATCTAAACATTCCATAAGTTAGAAATGAGATCCGACGTATGGGAACTTAATCATAGAAACGAACAGTCGAAAAGTTACCCACAAACGATCCACATTGGAGAAGACTTCGCAAAACCTGGCCCAAAGACCTGGTCCAACTTTGAACATTACGCAGGGGCGGCTCGTCGAAAAAAAATGGGTGAGGCAAGCGCTAACTTTGCCGCCCGAATGAAAAGGTTTGTTGTTTGTTCATTGGTTCTTTAATATGAGTATAAGTACCACCAAACAAAGAAAATTATATAATATCGTAGAAATCAGAAAATGACATTTACATAAGCATACAAAAAAACGGAAATTCACACAAAAATACCAACAGTGTAATAATACCTATATTTATATAGGAACCCTTTTTAACTTGTCATTTGCAAAATTGTTAACAATATCATCGAAGTCTATGTTAGAACTTGACTCTGTCCTGTGTCATTGTTGAACATTAATAATTTTTCATTATTTTTTTTGCGAGAAAGAACGTTCTCCACTGCCCAGTAACTAGAATAGTTAAAAGTATCTTAGAGATACCTTTGTGACTTTCCACGATTCTTTCACTTCCCGTCCATAACGATTATGCAGTAATAAGCGAAGCAACGACACTGGTGTGTCACTGCCGACGCTAGCTTATTCGTTGTGTATCAAGTACGATAATAGTTATTTATTATACTAGATCATAAAGGGATATTTTAACCATCGAGTGAAAGGTATTAACTTCTACCATATGGTTAGTTTACCTTTATCGTCGTGTATAACACAAAACTTTATTTTGTCATATATTCTGGACGTCATTTTATATCGTGCATTTGCAATAGGAATGACAGATGTCATTAGAATGCACACTCATCTGTTTCACTTTATCTACCCTTACGGTTAAAGTGATCACTTTAACCACTCTTACTGCTAAAGGGGGACTTAGCCTACTCATTGAAACCTATTAAACCTATTACCTATTATTTTAACATATGCTATAAAATAAAGTAATAAAAAAAACATGCAATCCTATTACATATATCGCCTGGCAGAAATGGCTATATTTTATAATCGATTTCAGTCAATTGACATTACAAAGATTTATTATTATACTACATTATTCTTATAATAAAACATTTTTTTTTATTTTTAAATTTCAAAAATGCCGCCCCTAATATTATGCCGCCTGAGGCGGCCGCCTCGCCGCCTCACTCCACGAGCCGGCCCTGAGCCCGACCCTACCTTAGGGATTGCTCTTTCCGTTGTCAGGGCCAGAATTAAAGACTGGGTGACCAGTCAATTCCAGGCTCAGAGGTAACAAACAACCGGACTTTTTAACAGGGTCTCTTGGCACATATGGGTATTCTAAGCTTTTAAACCTGAATAGAAGCCAGACTGGGAAGATCACCTGTGTCCTGACGGAGTACTGGATGGTCAACTATCACCTGCATAACATTGGGCTTGTGGAGGGTATGTCCACGTGCGAGGCAGATGAAACAACCGAGCATGTGGTCTGTCACTGTGACGCTTTGATCAAAGATAGACGTAGGCTAAATAAGGTCCTTTATTTAGAGGAACGGACTCTGAACCTAGGTCGTTTAAAGATAATTTCATTTCTCCCTGAGTTGGGATACAGCCACGCCTACGCGTGCCCCAGTATTTTACTCCTAGAGAGGTAGTTTGTTGAAAAATCTGAGGATCTTCTCCTTGGTACCCACACTAACATAACACGATTATGCCTGGCTGTTTCTTCCAATTTTGTGTGACATTCCATAAGCAGCTTGCAGGTCAGGAGGAAGGCGAGCTGCCTGATTCTCCGTGCAGGTGTAAATCTGCGCACCTAGTAGCCCCTGCGCACCAGCTGTAGGGGTGTTTCCTAAGGCCATTGAGAGAGCGTGCCTCTCTTATGCCTATTCCCACACCTTCTTCTGAACTTCAAGCCATCTGTGTACCAGCATAAGACTCTTTTTTCAAATTGTGGACTATTTTTACAGACTTCCTTATCCCGAATCATCACTTTAAAGGGCTTATCGTGGTGGTATTCGGGAATCATATAGTCTAAAATCCTGTGTTCAAGAATGTTAGTTGTTGTACAACTCCTGAGTGTATTGCACCTTTGTGTATTCCTCCCACCTCACTTCCGAGCAATTTCTAATTGCTCCCCTTGCTGCTTCCTTCTTCACCACTAAGTGAAGAGGGACCAGGGACCTCAATGGCAGTTGCGGGTGTAGTACTCATTGCTCCAACAGGAGGGATAATGCTCGACAGATATTGCATATCCACAATTACGAAACTGAGAATAAAATTAAACTCACAGGCGATACAGGTTTTACAAAATAGTCTTGGACATTAGGGCTTTACCTAAACGCTACCCTCAAAAATCGCAGTTTGAGTCGAAGTAGATGCGATGAAGAAAATTCGAAATTTCGAAATAGTAGCAATCGACCTCGCAATCGACTTTTTATCTAATTAAGAGTGTTCGCACATTTTGGGACATCGGAACTGGCGAACTAAGAACAGTAAATGAATGCATTGTGTTAAAACAAACAAGATGTTGCTCAAAATCTGCAATAGATGCACTAATTTGTGGCGTAGAAAATTGTGTAATATCACTAGCAATTGGGTAACTCTTAAAAGGCTTATGGTTTCACATTGATACCAAATTTTGTAAAAAAAGAAAGTTTTTGAAACCTCTTTAGAAGATGATGACAGGACAACCCAATCTGTTACATCTGCCAGCGCAAGTAATTATATCAATTAGAGGTCGTGAGAAAAGATACTCAAATTCCAGGCGTTCAACAACTCTCACTTGAAAGGCGTGGTAGGTACAAACAGGGATATAAATTTGACATTCAATTTTACAAATGCACGTGTCGGTATTTCGTGACGGTACTTGGTGACCACTTCTGACACATTTCTTATTACGCCTAAGGCGTGCATTAACATTGGTTTCACTTTTTCAACTTAACTAGATGTACAGCATTTTTGGGGATACATTTTCAATTGTAATAGCTGAAAATTTCAGAAAACCGTTATATCACCGTTTCTCTCTTTCCATTTTATAATCATAACACAAAAAGCAAGTGAAATATGCTACAATGGATTATAGTAATTGGTAAGGGAAAGTTTAAGTTACGAGGTCTAGACTGAGTGTATCTCCCATGTCATACCTGAGGCATGTTAGTTTTTAATTCACAGATCATTTATAAATTAATTGCTATGGTAATAAATGGCAAGTGAGTGTGAAGAACGTAGGTATACGATATTTGAAAAGAGCTCTTCAATGTCTACAAATTTTATTTAATTGGATGCAATGGTGTGTGCTATCCTCTACCAAACAAAGTCCTGAATGTGAATAACTGTATAAATTTCCCACTTATGGTAATGCAAATCTTGTGCTTTAACTTTTAGGCCATTGTGCATCTTTTTGATTTAGTTATTAAGCATATATTAACGGTTAGTTAGTTTCCGAGGCACGTCAGTACTGTTTTGTTCTTTATTAATGTTGGGAGATAAAATGCGCTAACAGTCTACGATCATAAATTAAGGGAACAGTGGTTAACAATGACTGTACGCAAAATTAATTTTCGGTGTGTACTTTCCCAACACGCAATTGCAACCACATATCGGATGAAGAAGTA